TTAGTCGATGCATGAACTTTGTGTGAAACATACCGTTGGTTGGTATGAATATACTGAGTCGTCAAAGCCAGGACGTGTTGCTCCAGAAATATTCAAGTAATCTGAGCTGCGCACTCCCTAGTTTCCATCTCGCTGTAAGCAGAACGTGGCTCGATTCTTGGGTTTAAAGGAACATGGATAAGAACATGATCACAGTTACTTTGGTCACAAACATTGACTTCAATATGTACACACATCTTTATCGACTCCGCTGTCTTTTTCAAACAATTGTGAAAGAAGAGCATTCAATAGATGCCAAATGAAATGTTATTACATTCTTGCATGGGTATAACTGCACCAACTATTAATTAAATGCACTTGTTCAGCTGTCTGATTATTTCTTCAGCCGTATCCTTCGGTCTAAAAAAGAAAAAGAGTGAGTCTATCGGAATAGAAAATCCTTCAAAATATAATGACCAGCTGCCGTACAAGAGATGAAGAGCACAGTGTCAAACAGGACCAGAGAGAGGACATTTCACGGCGTTCATTTATTATCAGTAGCTTATATCATGTGTACTCTTACACGCATCTTTGAATTGTTCCTTTAGTTACCCATGACTGCCAACATCGGGTGTTGTAGTGATTCCCTTAGCGTTCATGAGGCCTCGAAGTCATGAAAGACAGGATAAATAGATTTTCGTTGGTTTCTCAGTAATTAAACAGGCTGAGTATCTGAAATATCCGTTTGTGTTTTATGTGATACAAATTACGAGTAATCAAGTATCAACTGTACATTTGACGAAACGTCTGCAGGTTCAAGAAGGTTCCAGCACAAAGGAAATCAATCTCTTATAACATATGAAATATGCACAATAAACTGTTGGATTCATATTTATGTTATTGTTATGCATGGTTTCGAAATGACTGTTAACAATTACCCTGAACATCTATCTTGTATGCATGTCCTTCATGTGTTTCCTTGTATGCATTATAGAACAGATGGAAATGACATATTTCAGTGCAATATTGTCGTCATACAATACATGGTTTGGAAAGGACAGAAATGTCATCAGAGAAATAAATAAGAAAACATATTAAACACAGGTCATTCGTTTCACATGTTTATAAATGCAAAACTCTGGTGAGTGAGTAAACATCATTATCAATAATGTTTCACGTGCAAAAATTATAATCGTCTGTGCAACTGGGTAAGGTTTAGGAAAAGTCAATATCTCCAAGTCATAACAATGAGCGATCTGGGCTGGTGTAGACAAACATATCTGCACCATTGGGATTCGATCTCTCAGTAATATAGACAGATGACCGATGGTATCACCGATGGTGAACCCTCAACCTTGTATCAATCTGTGGATCCATACTATAATTGTTCAGTGGTTAAATATTGATACATGAGACATTCAAATTGTAATTAGTATCTTGTATCTATACCGAATGAAGTCTTTGATAGGCATTTAGAAGTTAGGAGAACATAAACACATGACACTGTATATGGATGACAACTTCTTTTATCCTTTGTCACTACGTTCAGGAGCTACTTATTGCTCCTCATATAAATATATTCAGTATAAAAAGATAACATAATAAAAGGAAGCTATGCCGAAAACAGCAAACAGTTGTTGTCTAAAGCCCCGTAATTCGTTCGGAGTTGCGACTATGATCCTGCGACTATCCTGGGTTCTAATCCCGTTCGACCTGTTTTTGTTTCTAGATTTGCTAGCACCACATAAGTAGGTTTCCTAGCACCACATAAGTGCAAAGCCAGTTGATGTTGTGTTAGAGGATCCTTGCAGGACAGAAATAAAGACAATCTTATAACAATAAAAGGAGATAAAGACCACTTCGAAAGTGTTTAAAATGGTATTCATCTTCGACAACAATTACACAGAATGGACATAAACTTAGGGATTTCTCAACAGATGTAATGGAAATCTTCCTTTGTTAATGTTTAGATAATTCAGGTCAAGTCTAAAACGAATAATGTTGATTCTGGTTCCAGCAATGACTTGAACTGACGATAAGTATCACATCTTGAACTTTCGTAAATATCTTAATGCCATTTCTGATAAAAACATATCAATGGCACGCATGCGAAAGTGCTTCATGAAAACATTTTGCATTACCAATTGTATGGAACATTCAAATAAAACCAAAACCATATGTAAAAAGCAATGCACGTATACAAGAAGATTATCGATTATGTACAAGCATGTTGTAGGCTTTCTTAGGTAAACGGTGTTCAGGCATTATTATTATTTTACACCAATATTTCAAGCAAAGAGTGTAAGATACAATGTGCAATGGGAATCTCCCACATTCTCCATTAACCATATTACAATATACATTTTTACAAACGAGGAGATGAAACTTTTCAATTGTATAGAACTCTTTACAACCCCAGATCTCAGATCCATATAGTAAAATAGGTTGTATTTGAGAATCAAATAATTTAAAATACAATTTTCGGTGAAAATAACTCCATGCTTAGAGATAACAGCGTGAACTTGTAAAAGAACTTTCTTTGCTCTGCTAGTGAGATTAATTTCAGACTTATCCAGATTCAGAGTACTAGACATCAAAATCACACCATCTGCAACAAGTAGCATGAAAAGTTCTATTATGTAAGGGAAGAACTGGATGCCATGTCTACAAGCTTGCATGATATCAACAGATAACTCATTTATAAAAAATGATGGCGCGGTCGGGTAGCCTAGTGGTTAAAGCGTTCGCTCGTCACGCCGAAGACCCGGGTTCAATGGGTACAATGTGTGAAGCCCATTTCTGGTGTCCCCCGCCGTGATATTGCTGGAATATTGCTAAAAGCGACGTAAAACAATACTCACTCCTTGGCGTAAGCCTATCGGATAATAAAAAAGTCACTTTTAGAAACACCACAGCGAACACACGATTTTATATTTGCACACATTGATTTAACAATGACCAACATTTTGCCTCCTAAACCCTTATTTTGCAACAACTCCACAATTTGGCTCTATTTACAGAATCAAATGCCTTTTTAAAATCAACAAATACCACATACAACTTGCGTTTGCTGAAGGATAAATGTTTCTCAATGACTGCATACAAAGTGAATATGTGGTCAAAAGCCGAATAGTCCTTTCTAAATCCCGCTTGTGTTTCAGGAATCAAATCTCTCATATTTGACCACTGTGCTTATCTATTATTGATGATAGAAGTAATTGCTTTACCAAGAATACTTGTGAGAGATAAACCCTGGTAATTGTCAGGATTGTCTACGTGTCCATTCTTGAATAACGTAATAATAATAATAATAGATTTTGATGAAATAATAAATATAATAAACATTAAGACAGCAATGCTAATAGCAAGTTTTGTTAAGTGGCTGTTACGTTTAACCTGTTGACGTCATGTCTAGTTTAGCTTCCTCTGAAAAACTGCTATGAATAATGTGGTGATAGCGTGGATAAATGTTGTTATTAACACCATTCTTTACGTAATTATACATTGAGAACATACTGTCCTCTGACAAAAATAAAACATTCGACCTACTTAATACTAAATAAGATTGCAATCCTTATAAGAACTTTCTAATGAATGACTAATTATCTAATGACTTACTTTGATTTCTTTGACTCGGCCTCACCATATGTCTACATCTAGAGCCTGATAAATTAGATGTTCGATTTCTTAAAAAAAAAATTATTACAAATAAATACTACACAATGACTACTATTTGTAACAAATAATATGCGATAGGATTACAAAATTCAAATGCTTAATTAGAAAATGGGCTACAAAGGCCGCGTTTTTTTGTCAATATTCCTTGCACCCCACACATACAATATGATGGAAGTTCACTGCAGTGGAAATACGTAGGATCTAACCAGATAGACCGAAGAGTTCGTCGTCCGAATTATTGTGAAATCTGTTTGTGTTTGCCTGGCACATCAACCGTATCTCGTGATTATCAATTGTCCACTCTTATCATCGTGACCCACTTGTCCGTATGACCTGAGTGATAGCGTGGATGTGTCCATTTACAAGAGAGAGTGTACACTCCAGGTCCTTTTGCTGAGAATTCCTACGCAATCGCCAAATACAGACTTTTAAAATGACCACCCCTGTGAAGTACGGCCTACTTTTTGTGGAAGTCCTCCTTCTTGCTGTGCTTGGGGTGAGACTTTAACTTCGCAATTTTTGATGTTGTCTGGGTCTCCCCGCAGTCATTCAGATATCGTTACAGCATTATCAACACTCGCGCGTTCGTATTTCAAAGGAGACACGTCTACTCTGCCCACTAATTAAGCTTCTATATTGGGGTAGAGTTCAGTTGGGAAATAATATAGAAGAACTTGCAATAGAGCTGCGTCTGTTCCATAGCAACGTCTTCTCACCATGTTCGCATGTTCATTCAAGACACAAAGGCACAACTGTTATTCATGTAAGGGTAACATACTTTACACGGAAGCTATGTGCTCGATATGGACAACGCTTTTACATTATTTGCACCACAACACTTCCCGAGTAACATATACACTTCATGTGCTCTATATACACTACATTATCACTATATGTACACTACTTGAGCAATATATACCGCTGTTTGTTGTAGTGTATATATTGCTCAGGTAGTCGTGTATATAATGTGCTTGACTGTGTATTTGAAGTCCATTTGTCGAATATAGTGTCCATGTAGTGTGTACTGCGTCCATATAGTGTATATATTCCTGTTTTTTTTATGTAGTGTCGATGCAGTGTAAAAAGTGTCCATGCAGTGTTTAAAGTGTAAATGTGGTGCACACAGTGTCTGTACAGAGTATATAGAGTCCTATTGTGTACATGGTGTCCATAGGGTCTTAACAGTGTGCTGGTAGTGTACATAGTGTTGTTAGACCATTGCCAATCGCCTGGGGCTTTCACTATTCATTATCTGGGGATCGATATTCCTCACTTTCCCAGAGATCGTAAATTATTATCTATGTACTTCGTGGTGTGCTTGACCAAGATCATAATTCGTGCAGAGCCCCTCATCTACGACAACAGAGGTCACGCCAGCCACGGTGACAGCTACAGCTATCCCCGGCCTCGGCGAGGGGTGCACGACGGAGTGCAGTCCCCCCGACATGGTGGAGTGTGTTAACCATGTGTGTCAGTGTATACCTCCTCTCCAGAGTACTGGCAAATACTGTGTCACCGGTAGGACAAAAATAGATTTAATCCTACTACTACTACTACTACTACTATTACTACTATTACTACTACTACTACTACTACTACTACTACTACTACTACTACTACTACTACTACTACTACTACTACTACTACTACTACTTCTTCTCCACTACTACTACTACTATTTCTCTACTACTACTACCACCACCACCACTACTACTACTACTACTATTACTACTACTACTACTACTACTACTACTACTACTACTACTACAACTTCTTCTCCACTACTACTACTATTTCTCTACAACTACTACCACCACCACCACCACCATTACTACTACTACTACTACTACTACTACTACTACTACTACCACCACTTATACTACTACTACTCTACTACTACTACTACTACTACCACTACTACTACTACTACTACTACTACAACAACTACTACCACCATTACTACTATGACTATTAATATTAGTACTGCTGTTGCTGCTACTACTACTACCACTACTACAACTTCTTCTCCACTACTACTACTACTACTACTACTACTACTACTACTCTACTACTACAACTACTACTACTACTACTCTACTACTACAACTACTACTACTACTACTACTACTACTACTACCACTACTACTACTACTCTACTACTACAACTACTACCATCAATACTACTATTACCTTTTCTATTAGTACTGCTGTTGCTGCTGCTACTACTACTACTACCACTACTACTACTACTGCTACCAATACTACTGCTACTTCTCCACTTCTACTACTATTTCGCTACTACTACTACTACTACTACTACTCCTCCTACTACTACTACTACTACTACTACCACTGCTACTACTACTACTTCTACTACTACTACTCCTCCTCCTACTACTACTACTACTACTACCACTGCTACTACTACTACTACAACTACTACTACTACTACCAACACTACTACTATTACTATTACTTTTTCTATCAGTACTGATGTTGCTGCTGCTACTACTCCTACTCCACTGCTACCAATACTATCACTACCACTATTTCTACTACTTCCACAACAACTTCTACTGCTACTACTACTACTTCACCACTACTACTACTCTACTACTACTACTACTACTACTACTACTCCACTACTACCACTACTGTCACTACTACTACTACTACTACTACTACTACACTACTACTACAACAACAACTACTCCACTACTACTGCTACTACCACTACTATTAGTACTGCTGTTGCTGCTGTACTACTACTACTACAAAGCGATATTTAACGAAAGTAAAGAATTAGAATTCAAAATTCATTTGAACACAGGTTGGAATATCATGTATACTTTTTGCCGATCGGTTTGAAAGGTCAAAAACATTTAAGATGTATCTACGCTTTTGACACCAGGAATCGAATAATCCCTGTGTTCGGCATTTGTACAATATCTGGTTGTGTTGGGTATACAGACGGCATGAGTCTGCACATCCAAATAGTTCTCACCATCCTAATTAGTATTTGTGTCCACTTATCAATAAATATATCTGATCACAGTTGCCTTTTGTGTATATTGTGGTTTTGCAGAACCCGGTCCGGTTGGGGATTTTAGCTTCGCCAATGTGACGGACTCCACCGTCAGCCTGACGTGGGAACAACCAACGACACCGGGTGTTATACAGTATTATGATATAGTTTTCAATGTGAATGGAATGTGTTTTGACGAGATTGTGTACCAGTGCACACAGAACTCACGATCAACGGTAAGTGCTCTAATTTATCATATAGGATGAGTGCTCAAGTTGACGTAAAACATTATAATAATGGATTTATAGGGACATATCACCCGACTTTTTGTAAACGTAAAATGTTTATAAGTATTATTTTGAAGTATCTTTTTGTGCGTAATTGTGATAACACTTACATTTCAGGAGTTATTTTTAGGAAAGAAAGAGAAATCTTTTATAAAACAACTTTTTATGGATAAAATTCCATAAAAAGACATACAATTCTTCTGCTCCATCTTGATAAGAAAGACCATATCATATTCCCATGAAGATTATACATGTACATATCTCATTAATGGATGAGTCGTTGTGGTGTAGCCTCGCTTTTACAATATACCATCGCCCAGCAATTTCACGACAATTAGCTTAAAGTATTGTGCACACATTCACAAAGTCACAAAACAGCAAATTCTTCTTATATCGATACGTTTGTACATGTGGATCTCCAGTTACCACGCTCTGACAAACATGTATGAAGTGCAAACTTCCTTTGCCTCTCAAAGGCTTGATTATTTTTAGAGCACCGATTTTAGTTCAAACTGTTTGCGATATATTTATTGTTTTAAGGGAACATGCGGATTTATGACCTTTACGGCGGTAACCAGTTGCAATGGCACCATATCTTATGACGTATCATCGCTGCTGCCTTACAAAAACTACTCCATGAGCATCAGTGCCAGAAACGATATATATGATGGACCAAATTCAACGTTATCAATACAAACGGATATATCAGGTTCGTAGCGCTTTGTTGGTTGCCCTGCCAGTTAGCACAACATCTATATCTTGATTTCAAATGTATTGAACAAATCGCGTATATTCTTTATTGCATTCAAATCCTTTGTTTGCCTAGAATAATTCCCAAATGGGTTCCAGCCATCTATGCTTGTCGTACGAGGCGACACGATTGAAAGGGTGGTCAGACTCGGTGACTTTAGTAACTGCGTGGTACCTGACGAGAGTGGATCGTTGCTCATTGTAACAGTAAATCTAGTCCCGAATCGATGTTTAAAACGATGAAACTTTGTTATGAATCATTATCTAATCGTCAGTTTTATTGACGTTTTGATCATTAAGAACCCCCCCCCCCCCAATCCCCCCCCCCCCCCCGCCATCTTTTAAGGATCTTTTAAATCCTTATTGATAAACTGTGGCTATTTTCTAGCCCCTTTACGACCAAGGGACGTCGAAGCAACCGTTCTGAACGCCTCCGTAATCCGAGTGTCCTGGTCGCGCCCGTTTCGCGACAACGGCCCCACCTGGTACAACGTCACCGTGTGGGAGGCCACGGGGAGACGCTCGTCAAACTTCACCCTCAAGACAACAGTACGAGTTGATGGTAGGATAAGCAATCGGTCTTAACCGATAAGGGATACAATCATGTGGTCAATCCTATGCATTATTGGGACATTACATAGTTATATACATTGCTAGGTTTCAATTGAAACAGCCAGAGATAGGATAGGGATGCAAATGAATACATGTCAATACTATTATATACTACAGTTATAGTGTTACTCAACATCGACATAGATATATTCCAAAATTATAATTTGAGTAGTTTCCTTAGTAATACTGAAAAGGGCTACAGACCTAGAGTTTGGTTTAACGCCGCTTTGAACATTGTTACAGTTTTGAGGCTTAAAGTGATGTAGGGATTAGTGAAGACCAGCCTCACTTTAAATCATGACTTTATTTTTCCGAAAGGAGGAGCCAAACCGTGTTGTGAGACCCGCACAGTGAGTGCACATTGGGATTCTGTCGTGACCCTAAACGTGCATCGTCGTTAACGTGACACATCTAGATGGTGTTAAAAGTGACGACGTTTCACAATCTGTCATCAATATCCATATTTGTAAAGTGACTTTTTACTTTCCAGGTTTCAATACAACGTCATGTGTGGTACAAGGTCTCCTAAGTTCCTGGAAGTACTATTTCAAAGTGACGGCATACACTCCCGCAGGCTCTGCGCATGCTCCAAACGCATCAGGTGTCGTAATGACTTTGCCAGCAGGTATGATTATCCAATGTCGGAACTTGATACTTCACGTCTTGAATATACTGATATGTTCTTTGGAAGCCGAGAGATTCACCACGCCACCGGCTAAACATTGTGTCCATTCCTAGTGTTCCTAAAAACGCGTTAAACCATACTCACACAAACGACTGGACATATATTTGGTATTCTCTTCTGCATTTCGTGAACTATTTCTGGGTAGTATTTTATGTCACATTAAGTTATATGTAAGATATATATCGCTATTTTGACATCTATTCTAGATTCCCCTGTATTTGGGAATTCTCGATTCAGATTGGTCGATCAGAGGTTTCAAATCACAATAACCACCTCAGATTGAAACAGCTAATTTGATGGTAGCAAATCTACGGAAGCAAATATTTAATATAATGCGCTTCTTTCCCAATCATGATGTATGGCAGGCATTTTGAGTGAGTGAGTGAGAATGGTTTTATGTCGCTTGTAGCAATATTCAAGCAATATCACGGCTGGGGACACCAGAAATGGGCTTCACACATTGTACCCATGTCGGGAATCGAACCCGGTCTTCGGCGTGACGAGCGAACGCTTTAACCACTAGGCTACCCGACCGCCTCCGCAGGCATTTTGAAATAATTGAAATGTTTCATTATATGTTACACAAGTTTTGTTACTACGTTATTCGATGTATGTGTTTCAATTCATTTTGGGACAAAATACGATAAAAAATAACAAAGACTATGTATTTCAAGTTTTAGGGCCACAGAAAGCTCGCAATCTGGCGCCTTTCCATATCTAACTGTGGCGTCATATCTTTTGCGTCACACACGTTAAGCTGTGGTCCAAGTTCAATTAAAGTGGTTAAATCTACAGGTATCTCACCTCTGCATTGAAAGCACAGAGTGTTTATCTCACACTAATACCAGAGATGACTACATAGTATATACTGGGCGGTCGGATAGCCTAGTGGTTAAAGCGTTCGCTCATCACGCCCGGGTTCGATTCCCGCCTTGGGTACAATGTGTGAAGTCCATTTCTGGTGTTCCCGCCGTGATAGTGCTGCAATATTGCTAAAAGCGGCGTAAAACAATACTCACTCACTATAAAAATGAGAAAAGTATTGGACTTAAAACACCTCCTTGGCGTAAGCCTATCGGACAATAAAAAAGTCACTTTTAGAATCACCACAGCGAACACACGATTTTATATTTGCATACATTGATTTAACAATGGCCAGCATTTTGCCTCCTAAACCCTTATTTTGCAACAACTCGACAAATTTAGCTCTATTTACAGAATCAAATTCCTTTTTAAAATCAACAAATACCACATACATCACTCCCTCACTGACATAGTATATACCTTCTTATCTCCATTATAACCTCAAATACTCACTGAAACCATAGAGCCTGGGCCCGTCGAGAACCTGACTGCCTCTGCTCTACCCGAGCCCTACTTCGGAATGTTACTGACGTGGAATTGTCCCGAGGAGAAACAGAGGAATGGACGCATAATGAACTACACCTTACACTACAAGGGCGATGTATGTATAACGTAAATTCTCAACAGATGGACATTTTCATAAGACAACAATGAATGCTTAGATTTTCAACTCGGCGAAATACATACGTGTCGAGGTTGATACAACGTTCAATATTCACCGACACGTAATTCTACTTCGACTGGATATCTCGAAAATCATCTTATTAATTAATGTCACCTCTATAATTGTTATCACTCAGTCTTAAACTCCTGACATCGTGAAGATACTTTGACAACCTTATTTTACCGTATATAATACATGGTGAATTTCGTGTGGCTATGGAAAGGTTTTTGTCGCTTTTATTAATGAGTGAGTGAGTGAGTGAGTGAGTATGATTTTACGCCGCTTTTAGCAATATTCCAGCAATATCACGGCGGGGGACACCAGAAATGGGCTTCACACATTGTACCCATGTCGGGAATCGAACCCGGGTCTTCGGCGTGACGAGCGAACGCTTTAACCACTAGGCTACCCGACCGCCCCTTTTATTAATGAGGTACATGTGTAACTACATCTTTTTAAATAGCGCACATGGAGCCCATATGGACCCCAATGACATGTTAAACATTTGATAATAAAGCATTATTGAAACACATGTACCTCTCCCAAATGAAAACTGCCCCAACAGGCAGTAGACTGCAGTCAAAATTGCCCCAACAGCTTATAAATTACCATTCTCTCTTACCGTTTATATTCGTGGATAAAATGTACACAACACTCGAGCTCTCATTCACCATATGAACATGTACATGTATGTTGTGCAGGTATCCCAAGTGGAGCATTACGGGAGATACACACCAGAGGATCCATGCACGGACACGAAGTCAGTGTTGGTGCCGATGGCGCCCGCCATAAACTACACGTTTACCGTAAGTATAGCAGGACGTGGCATACATGTTATTGAAATAGAGAATGACCAACGAACTGCGATGGATCACGAAATGTCTGTAAATCTTTAGTTTTAGCGAGGGATATTAAAGCCATAATTCCGGCTATATTTATTTAACTATATTATCAATTATCCCGCGATATGCCAAGGAGAGGCACGGGCCACCGAGCCGTGGATGCCCGTGCCTAAAATAAAAACAGAAGATGAGATTGGGTTAAATGGCCGAGGGTGTGCAGGTACTAGTGGGCTACTTAGCTGCTAATTGTGTATACCAAAATGCTACCGTTGCCATGGCCACGCGCGTGGCCAACGGCGATTGCAGCTAGCGCTGCTGGCCTGAGACTGCTTCCGCTGTCCGGCCCCCACGGTAGCATATTTAACCGCTACCATTGCTTGGCAACTCCCACGCTGCCAAAAGCAGCTCCACGCTGCTGGCCTAAGTCAGACTACCGCTGCCCGGCCCCAGGTAGCCGGCCAAAGCAGATCCCACTGCCCGGCCCCATTAGCAAAACCATTGTGCGGCTCCCACGCCGCGGACCCAACTGTCAGCTACCGCTTGACAAGACGACTTCCGCCGCCGGGCCCATATACGTGGCAATTGTTTGCCCCAACGTATGTTATTTTACGATTCCCCGGCTGAAAAGTCGGGAAAGACAAGGTTCCCACTGAGAAGCAGGTAACCCCGGAAAGGTTCCCGCTGAAAAGCAGGTAGCCTTAAGCACGAGTATTAATTTGGAAGCAAGTTAATTTGTTACTAGCAGTGTAGCCCACAAGAACCCCGCACACCTCGACATAGTTTATTGTTGAGACAGGTATTGCATATATACATATATACAGCTATAAGGAAGTCATGTTTATTTACATATATCAGAATCGTTTAAGAGTATGTCCATATATAAAAGCGCCCTGAAAACCTATTTTACATATGTACAGGTTTATTTACATATATACAATCCGCTCTGCTGGTACCTGTAATAGAATAAACGCTGAAGAAAAGAAGTGATTAGCATTCCAGGTGAAGAGGACACGTCAGGCTGAAAAGGAAAGAAAAGGAATGGCAAGCTGGGTGGGTGGGTGGGAAAGCGATTAGATACAGTGACACACGTGTGTACTTGGGGAAGGGCTGTTCGCGAATGACCGACTAACAAAGGCGGGATGATGCTTGCGCGGGATTATTCCCCGGGCACGGTGCCGAGTGGTGGCCCGGGGTGATTGAGTTACGGGGGGTGATTGGGTTACAGACGTAATTAGCCCATGGTTTGGATACGCGCGATAAAGTCATTTAGTAGTTAGTACTAAATGTAATTATCCCGCGATATGCCAAGGAGAGGCACGGGCCACCGAGCCGTGGATGCCCGTGCCTAAAATAAAAACAGAAGATGAGATTGGGTTAAATGGCCGAGGGTGTGCAGGTACTAGTGGGCTACTTAGCTGCTAATTGTGTATACCAAAATGCTACCGTTGCCATGGCCACGCGCGTGGCCAACGGCGATTGCAGCTAGCGCTGCTGGCCTGAGACTGCTTCCGCTGTCCGGCCCCCACGGTAGCATATTTAACCGCTACCATTGCTTGGCAACTCCCACGCTGCCAAAAGCAGCTCCACGCTGCTGGCCTAAGTCAGACTACCGCTGCCCGGCCCCAGGTAGCCGGCCAAAGCAGATCCCACTGCCCGGCCCCATTAGCAAAACCATTGTGCGGCTCCCACGCCGCGGACCCAACTGTCAGCTACCGCTTGACAAGACGACTTCCGCCGCCGGGCCCATATACGTGGCAATTGTTTGCCCCAACGTATGTTATTTTACGATTCCCCGGCTGAAAAGTCGGGAAAGACAAGGTTCCCACTGAGAAGCAGGTAACCCCGGAAAGGTTCCCGCTGAAAAGCAGGTAGCCTTAAGCACGAGTATTAATTTGGAAGCAAGTTAATTTGTTACTAGCAGTGTAGCCCACAAGAACCCCGCCACAAAGCACCAGAGTGCTACCCCACACCCACGGCCACGCGATACGCGGAGATAGCGTTGTTGCCCGGCTTGCCTATGTACTGAAAGGAAACACAAACCTGTGGAGATAACAAGCGCCAGGGCATGCAATAAATTGTCCGTAAACACACACAGTCCTTTGTCACTGAGGTGGACGCCCTCCCAGGCGTACCATGTCTTGTCTGATGCCAGGATCTGGGGATGTGGCACCATTGTACCGCCGAGCTCTTTGACTCGGTTGGCCAGTCGACGGTTGATATTCTTCCGCATCCCCTCGATCTTTAGTGGGTCCCTGGCATCGTGCCAGTAGCGCCTGTGCAGCATTGAGGATACGATGATCTTGGTGTCAGGAAGCTGGGGTTGTATTTCCGAAGGATTGATGCCACCATGTCAAGGTAGCGTCAAGTCCCGTGTAGTTCCATCCGTCACCCACTGGGGTGGCCATGCGCCGTTAAACCATTTGCCCTGCATGTAGGCCCCGAAGCTGGCGCCACCCGCTGCTTCTGAAAACAGCTGGAGGAAATCGCTGTCCACCCATAGTTGGTCCTGAAACACTGAAATGCCTTTATAACTCGTACGAAATGTTAACCACATTTGTAGGTCTTCCTTGACCCAGCTGGTAATCCTAATGTGGTGAGATGGTTGCTTACCTTTGCTAAGCAGATCGGTTAGCCTGCGGCTGAATGCCCTTGCCATTGGTATAGCCCTGCACATAAAGTTAAGCTTGCCTATGAGGGACTGAAGGGCCCTTTTTGTGACCTTGATGTTACCTGTTGACAGGATGTCTTGGATTTCCCTTGTTGCCTCCTTGATCTTGGACTCTGGGATTCTGATCTGCATTGCAATGGTGTCGATTTCCAGCCCTAGGAATGTCAGTTTGGTTGTGGGGCCCACCGTCTTGTCGTGCGCAGTAGGAACCCCAAGCTGTTCTAGTGTATTCGCGCATCCGTTGAGGTTGTCTGAGCAGTGGCTGGTGCCTGCTGTGCCCCCCGTTAGGAAGTCATCCAGGTAATGCATAATCGGACACGTTGGAAGATGCGATTGCATGCACCATTGCATGAAGGTACTAAACGTTTCAAATATGGCGCAAGATATGGAGCAGCCAAATGGTAGGCATTTGTCGAAATAGAACTCACCTTCGAATCTGATGCCTAGCAGCTCGAAATCGGATGGGTGGACTGGTATAATTCTAAAGGCCGACTGAATGTCGAATTTTGCTAGTAGTTCTCCCTTTCCCAGTCGTTGAACCATATGGGTAGCTTCATCAAATCTGGCGTACGCAACGGAGCAGGCCTCTGTGTCTATGAAGTCATTTATAGATTTACCCCTTGGATAGGATAGATGGTGAATTAGACGGAATTCCTCCGCATGATTACCCAGGTGCTGACCATATCCTGGCTGCTTCTTGGGCACCAGGCCTATTGGGGATACTTGGAGGTTGTCTAGGGGGGGGGGGGGGTGTCCTTGAAGGGCCCGCCATCCTGCCAAGGTCGACTTCGTTTTGTAGTTTTGTTTCACGTAGCCTGCCGTGTCTTGGTGCGTGGCTGATCGCAAGTTTCGTGCCAGGCGACCCGTGCGGCTTCCCTGGAACTCGAGCTTAAAGCCAGAGCTAAAACCTACCCATAAATAGTTTGCATCTCTGTAATTGACCCTAGCATATTGGCGTAACCAGGGTGCCATTTCATTGAGATCCACGGGGGAAGGGGCCATTGAATTTACCTGCCTTGACGGCTGGTTTTCTGTTAGGCAGAAGGCTGATTGGGCTTGTATGGGGTCGGTTGGACCCCATTCCCTCGAAAGCAGGTCCTAGAGCTATGGGAATGTTTGCCACACTTACCGCATTTGTGAGTGTACTTACAGTTGACCCTGCTACAGCCAAACTTATTGAAATCCCAGCATACCTGACTGGCGATGTCCCCCTGTACGCGTGTCATTGCGCCCCGTCCGCCTGATTCTGGTTGTAGTACCGGCTGTGTTACCATGGACTTCAGCCACAACTCCCCGTCGATGTTGTCCCAGCGTCGTGAGGGGTCCCTTGACATTCTGTGTCGGAATTGTTGGTCGTAGGTTGACCAGGCATCCCCCCGAATCGAAGTGCCGCCGTTCTTATGGTTTCCATGTAGGACAGCAACCCCTGGGTTGTGCGGACCTCGGAGTGCCTACTAACATATATACACATGAAAATGTGGAAAGCTGAAGTCCAGCTTGCCAGGGACAGGCGCTTTGGTTGCTGCTTTATTGGTTTAAAAATTACCTAACCTGAGGAGTCGTACGCCATGGTAATCGTACCGTCCTCGTGACTTCCCTCGGTGTCTGGTAGGATTGTGCCGAGGTCGACATACTCGCCACGCCAGATTTTTTCCCTCACCGTTTGTTTGACGTGCGCGTCTTTTCCGTCCGCATGGAAGGAAAGGGAATCCCCGTATCCTGCGATGTGATTGGCTGGCCAAGCCGCGTCACCGTCGGCCTCGCTAACCGGCATGCTGTTTAAAGCGGCGTTAATCGGCTCTCACTCTGTCGTGTCATTCAGTCTATATTTTCTACGAATGTTATCCGAACTATCATCATAACCTAGGCCATCTGCGTTACAGAAAAGAATGTGGTACCAGAGATACCACGCGAATCTAAAGTTGGTGTTTTCATATGGGATTAAGAGCTACACGTGCCTACAGTCCCATTCCGTTGTGCCCACAATAAATCATGCACTGACACGGTCTGTTGCTCAGAAAGGGATTCGCTACAGGACTGATTACATAACATTTATAGACATAGTGAATTATACCCTTATTATAAATCTCGTAAAAGGCATGCACATGTCTCGTGGTGGCAACGCCATTGTCTCTTCGGCTGTCCTTTGCTGCCATCATTATATGAATGTTTACATCTATAGCGTCAGCAGTAATTATCACCCATTCAACAAACACTCTTAAAATCACCCACACTAACTAAATCACAAACCCTAAAACCTGTCATTTCATGTCGGACAAGTATATAGCGACAGGACCCCCGGACTGCCATTCAAGTAACTAACTAACGACTGCCATTCTATACTGCCATGCACCCCGACGCACAACTCTCAGGTAAGGACATACTGATGTAGATGTACGATCGCTAACATATTGATGGATGCAATTTGGTGAATGCCTCCGTTATCTATTTCTTGTATTTATGTCCATGTACCACTGTGAGTGGTTATTTATGGAAATAAACAATGTCAAAGTTGCACGGCTCGTTCAGGATGGCAGACAGTCCATGTACAATACTTCTGGATTAACAATGGCAATTAGCATGTCAATTTATTCAGATTCGCATCAGGCTTGGCTGCAGCGATCTTAATGCAGATCAGTATGATAGACATGTTGCATACTAAAACCTGTTCCTGTGGATATCATACCGAGCATGCTTTACACTTTTGTGTGTACAAACTACTAAGTTCTTCGAAATGAAATGTATTTTTACCAACAAGGTTATTTTTTACACACAGTGCTGTGCAGAAATTCGCATTTGAGTAAAGAAGAGCAAATCCAAACATTAGCTTCTATTCAAAACTTCGTATTAAAAACTGGCAGATGTTCAATTAAATGAATTGTTTAACATAAACTGCAAATATATTTCTCCTATACACACATCTAGCTTGGCATGTGCAATTCATTTGTTAATCTAACGTTCGCTGATGTATTTATTGCATCGTGTCTTATGGGTAATGAAGTGGTATTAACATAAGCGCTTCGATTGTTTACTAATCCATTTCTAGATTCTAGACATATACACATCATGGCTGCAGGGTAATTAGTCTTTGTCCCAATTCGGTCGCTATGACACTACGATGAAAATGAATACCTCGTTGTAAGCATCGGGGATTCTCCCTATGTTCGGCGAAATGGCGGGAGAACTAAAACCAAGCCTTACCTGTTGGTTTGCGCTAACCGGGCCGGGCGCTGAATGTTCCTGCAACTGGAGTATTTTTCCAGTTGCTCGTTTACCTGGGTAGCCGAGTTGGCAGCCTGCGCGGCATTTACAAACTGCGCCGATTGTACGTTAATTCTGTTGCCCCCTTCGATATTTCCGTTCCGCATCCCCTCGTAATTGGCAGACTCACCATCAGCTGTTGCCTCCTGCATAATGTGCACTCCCGGGGTTTGTCTTCTGGTTGTCCTGGCCTGCTTGGCTCCCCTCACAAGCTTGTGGTTGACGGGTGCTCTTCTCTTGGGAGGCATCACGAAGGTCGAGGTGGTGAGTCGAGGTATTCCACCAGCGTAAAATTGTCCCGAGGGTGAAGTTCGGGAGTAGAACGGAATAAATGCGATACGGCGAGTGCTGAAATAGGTGGTATTCAAAGCAAAAGCGATTAGATACAGTGACACACGTGTGTACTTGGGGAAGGGCTGTTCGCGAATGACCGACTAACAAAGGCGGGATGATGCTTGCGCGGGATTATTCCCCGGGCACGGTGCCGAGTGGTGGCCCGGGGTGATTGAGTTACGGGGGGTGATTGGGTTACAGACGTAATTAGCCCATGGTTTGGATACGCGCGATAAAGTCATTTAGTAGTTAGTACTAAATGTAAATAGTTTATATACTATCCTCATAGAATGTATGTATGTATGTGTTTGTGTCTGTATGTGTGTGTGTGTGTGTGTGTGCATGTACATGTATTATGCTTCGTAATTTGATTATGTCAAATATATTCATGTTAATATTTTAATTATATATTTAATAATGTAGTAATATCACTTTATAATGGAGGCATATAATACATAATTGACTTGTGACTGACTTTTGAATTATTAAATTGAAAATTTGTAAAGTGTAAGTAGAATTGAAGACACATATTTCAGTACACCGTGCAAACACTGGATTGACTTATATTCAATAATGTGTTACAGGTTTTTGCAAATGCAGAATTTACAGGCAAAAGGACGTCTATTATTTCAAGAATGGGTCCTAAGGGTAAGGATATCATTTATTATCTTATCTTGCTACTGAACATAAATACTTTAACACAACCTCTTTGCATAAATGTTCATTCGTTGTAGCAGCTCATTTCACAATTATTTACATACTGTGGTAACAGTTGTTCATACAATATGCCAAGAGATGCATCCATGTATTCTTCTACCTTACACAGGTATGGTATTTGTGCTGCCGGCAAGGGCCAGTGAAGAAAATCAGTGTATGTATATTTTCAACATGTTTCCCCACTCTTCATTGGGCGATGTGAGAGCTCAGTAGTTACAGTGTTGGTTCGACACGTCGAAGATCTGGACTCGTTTCCGATTACCCGTAATGGGTACAATGTGTAAAGCCCCTTCTTGGTGTCCTCAACGTTATATGGGTTGGATGTACTATAAGCTATTCTATATATTAACACTATAAGGTTACAAATAATGTGTGGCCTCATTTGTATTTTGATGATGGGAGCTTAGTGGTGATATAGCCTTGGCTTCTCACACCGAAAGCGTATTTGAGGATCATAAACATGTAAGTAATCATCTGACAATATAAATGTATCAATAATTTGATTATAGATATCCTCTATTTCCTCCAGACTCCAAAAGTGTGATCGTCGTCTCAGCCGTGTGTGGTACCGTGATAGTCGTCCTCCTTGCTGTCGTGGTATTGTTGGTTATATACACGTACGTACGTATCACTTGTTATAGAAGATATAAGTATACTGCAGATAAAACACTACATACGGCTGCTTTTTCGTGTGGTGGTGAAGAATGTACATTTGTCTTCAGATAATGAAATTAGGCCGTGTGTAACTGAGGTCAAATGAGAACTTAGTCGATGCATGAACTTTGTGTGAAACATACCGTTGGTTGGTATGAATATACTGAGTCGTCAAAGCGAGCACATGTTGCTCCAAACATATTGCAGTAAACTGAGCTGCGCACTCCCTGGTTTCCATCTCGCTGTACGCAGAACGTGGCTCGATTCTTTGGTTAAAAGGAACATGAATAAGAACGTGATCACAGTTACTTTGGTCACAAACATTGACTTCAATATGCACACACATATTAATCGACTCCGCCATCTCTTTCAAACAATTGTGAAAGAAGAGTATTAAACAGATGCAATGAAATGTTATAACATACTAGCATGGGTTAATTAGTTAAATGCACTTGTCTAGCTGTCTGATTATTTTTTCAGCCGCATCCTTCCGTCTAAAAAGGACAAGTATGAGTCTACTGGAATTGAAAATTCTTCCTACCGCAGTTTAAATAATGACCAGCTTCCGTACAAGAGATGAAGAGGACAGTGTCAAACAGGACCAGAGAGAGGACATTTCACGACATTCATTTATCATCAGTAGCTTGTATCATGTGTACTCTTACACGCATCTTTGAGTTACCCATGACTGCCAACATCGGGTGTTGTAGTGATTCCCTTAGAGTTCATGCGGCCTCGAAGTCATGAAAGACAAGATAAATAGATTTTCGTTGGTTTCTCAGTAATTAAACAGGCTAAGTATCTGAAATTTCCGTTTGTGTTTCACGTGATACAAATTACAAATAATCAAATATCAATTGTACATTTGACGAAACGTCTGCAGGTTCTAGAAGGATCACACAAAGGAAATGCATCTCATATAACATATGTAGTATTCATATTTATGTTACTTTTATGCATGATTACGAACGGTGGACTGTGGACATTTGTCCTGAACATCTCTCTTGTATGCATGTCCTTCATGGTTGTCCTTGTATGCATTGTAGAACAGATAGAAATGACATATTTCAGTGCAATATTGCCGTCCTACAATACATGGTTTTGATAGGACAGAAATGTCATCAGAGAAAGAAATGAGAATACACTTTAATTAAACACAGGTCTTTTGCTTCACATATTTATTTATGCAAAACTCTGGTGAGTGAGTGAAAGGCATGACCAGTAATGTTTCACGTGCATAGATTATACTCTTCTGTGCAACTGGGTAAGGTTTAGGAACAGTCAATATTTCCAAGTCATAGCAATAAGCGACCTGGGCTGGTGTAGACAAACATATCTACACCATTGGGATTCGATCCCTCAGTAATATAGACAGATGACAAATGGTATCGCCGATGGTGAACCATCAACCTTGTATCAATCTGTGGATCAATACTATAATTGTTCGGTGCGCAGAGGCTGATCCGGGCGAGGGTATCGAAATTCCTCTTGAAAATCACATGAATTATAACTCGTAGTACAAACTAAAAACTTGTCACTGAAAAACAGAGGCATTCATCAGTACCATTCAACATCCTTGTATGATTGCCCGATTTGTGCTTACCAGCATCTAAGTGAACCATTTGGAATTCTGTCCACTGTGCGGCTATATACCGTGTGAATCATGGGTTTATTACATGAATAAAAAGTCATCATTTTGGAGCTGTGAGGATAATGTGAATACCCATCCCATTTACCGGCCATATATATATATATATATTTCACAGGAATGGAAGGCTGCTTTCTTTGCAATCTGAAGCAGTGCTGCGTGTAACATGTTCCCGAATACATATTTACGAAGGAAGTGTTTGTACACTCATGGATGAACAGGTTACACAAACCGTCAATAAATGACGTGTTAAAAATATAAGCGACAAAAACCCTTCCATAATCATTTAAAGTATCTGCTAAAAGCCAAGCCTATTGTTCGATTCCGACTATATCATAAAGGTACGCATATGAATCACTATCAAACTAGTGATGATACCAAGTGTGCGCGAAAGGATGTGCAATACTTTGATACTTTGATAAGATGATAATGAGAACTTATACCTTTTATTTGTGAATTTGTTTCGTGTATCTCAAGTAGCAACAACAATGCAAGGACGCCATAATATATCAGAGTATTTTGGTCACAACAACATTGACAAATCTGACAAGCGGAACGCGCAAATTAAGCCACAGTCACTGACTGTTACTCGGCCGAATAAATATTGATACATGAGACATTCAAATTGTAATTAGTATCTTGTATCTATACCGAATGAAGTCTTTGATAGGCATTTAGAAGTTAGGAGAACATAAACACATGACACTTTATATTGATGACAACTTCTTTTATCCTTTGTCACTACGTTTCAGAGCTACTAATTGCTCCTCTTATGAATATATTCAGTATAAAAAGATGAAATAATTAAAGGAAGCTATGCCGAAAACAGCAAACAGTTGTTGTTGGTCGCCATTTAAATACGTTGCACCACAAGACACCCTACTAAATGTAAACCTATCACCAATGGTAAGATGTGTTTTGTACACACATAACATATATATTGATGTGAAATACACCATGCTGCACATGGCAACATTATGTCATTTTCCATGTTAGTGAAAATGTAAAAAAACCAGAGAAGGCTCAGTGTTAATTAAAATTACCTTATACCTGGTTTTAAAATCACTTTGTTACTGGGTATCTAACGACGCCCACTTACGTGAAATGATATATGGATGACTTCTTAGTCATCCGATCAGCCCCGTAATCCCTATGACACTTCTCTCTCTGGGTTGATTCTGATATCGAGCGACAACAGCCTCAAACACAATCACCAGCTTATCAGTAGTTGCACTGACCTACATTGGCATGTGTTGGCTGGTCACACAGTGCAGATATCCTCAATGTAGTAGTTCTTGTCAGACCTTGTCAGTCCTTGTCAGGGTACATTCCACACCTGGCCACAGTCTCGAGTAACATTCACAATGGACTTATATTTAGGATGGTGTTTCATGTTGGCAGCTTTCAGTGTCGAATCTGTACTTCCGGTGAGTGTTAAGATAATTTTCATTCTTTTTCAAACGAGACCTTGTAGCCACCGCACATACTCACATTATCTACTTTTTTGTACACTTGTCTGCTTTGGGAATGGGTCACTCAATTGTCTCAAGCCCCGTAATTCGTGCGGAGTTGCGACTATGATCCTGCGACTATCAAACCTATGATCCTGGGTTCTAATCCCGTTCGACCTGATTTTGTTTCTAGGCTTACTAGCACAATATGAGTGCTGATCCTTGGTAGAATAGCTTGCTGTAAAAGGCGACTATCTTGTAAGAGGCGACTAGCGGGATCGGGTGGTCAGGCTCGCTGACTTGGTTGATGCCTATCATCGAATCCAAATTGCGTGGATCGATGGTCATTATGTCAATCACTGGATTGTCTGTTCCAGACTCGATTATTTACAGACCGCCGTCATACAGCTGGAATATTGCTGAGTGCGGCGTTAAGCAACAAACAAACAAACAAAACCCTATCAGTGCTCTTGAGTTTCAAAAACGTGTTAGTCGTCTGATGCCTAAATAAACTCTGGCTTTACTCCCAAATTAAGTCGAGACGCCGTAATGTAACAGAAATAATGTTCAAAAGCCGCGTTAAACCAAACTCACTTGCATGCCCGCTGCATGCCGCCTGTCCATAAGGTTTCTACCAGCCTACGCCTGAATGCGGTGTCAAACATAAGACATTTAAAAAAAAAAAACTGTCACAGTTGCAGAAACGTTTCTATTGTCTTAAGTTCGTTTAAACTATGGGTGTTAGAGTAGTAGTTCAGTGATTTAATTGTCACCCGTGATGGTGAATCCGGGTTAGATTCTCCCGTGGTTACACGTGTCCTTGTCGTGGTATAGATGGAATAGTAAAATTGACTCTGTTATGATGCATATGGCACACCCAATAAAATGCAGGTATTGCTAATGAAGATTGAGTGAGTGAAGATGTGAGTTGAGTGGATCCGGTGGTCAGACTGTTGACTTAGTTGATTGCGTGTCATGGACTCAATGATTTTCAGACCGCCTTCATATTAACAAACAAACAAACAAACAAACAAACAAACAAACAAAAACAAAGTGACGTGATCCAGATAAGTACTAGTGTAAGTATCCACAGTTCCTATATCCTGGTGACATCTCGATAAGTATACTATGTCTACATTCCTGGTTACATGACATTGGGAGTCAAATCGTGTGCAGAATGGCTTGTCATGTCTCTATTCGATTGGGTGTGACTAGTCACGTGTTTATCTTAACGTAGAATCGCAGCAGAGTCGTACCACGCAAACGATGCTTGCTCTAAACCGATCGGGTGATCAAGATTGGTGACCGGCGTCGGACGTTTCTCTAATATCAATCACTGGTTTATTTGGTCCAACCACGGTTATTTACAGTCGCCGTCACAACCTGGACTATTTGCTGAATGCGGCGTTAAACAATCAACCATTCTGGATATCATGTCAAACACATCCTACCTCTATATGCTCTCTAATGTCTTTCTACCAATCATGTATCATCTCAATGTTTCTCTGTTCATCAACATTAAGGGGATAAAACAAGGACTGGTAGGCTCGGAGTAAGTATGCCATGTCTGAGTTAGCTATAGGTATCCATGCTAAACTGCGACATGGTATAACATGCGACATAAAACAAGCATGTAAAAGAAAGCAGCCACACACACACACACACGTGCATACACACACGTCGCTATGTGAAATAATCTTTAACGCAACATTAAAGTTAACCCAATTTCACCTCACTTCGCCACTCTTTACCATACACATCCATTGTATACCATTAATGTGTATTTCAGACTTCAACTACAGAGTTGTCTACAACAGAAGCAGCAACTGCCTCGACGCCAGACCTTGGTATGTCTTGGCCTAAGAACAGCTTTCAAAAGGTTTATGGGAGTCATGTGAAATAAATGTCCAAATCTGACGCACCACTGACAAACATGATATCCGATGCAATTCCCTAATTTGATCTTTACAATATATGTGTCTTTTCACGTGTTTGTTCAGTTGAACAGTTGACTTGCCTTTGCATGTGTTTGTGATTGTGCAACTGGTGGGGATAGATATGCTCACCTTTCGCGAACACCTGGTATCATCACTGTTTGATTGTGATTTACACATGTTTATTATATAGTTGGAATTGTACATTGGAGAGTTTTGTCGCTTTTTTACACGTTATTGACGGGTTGTGGAAACTGTTCATCCATATCCTGCTGCTTTTCAGATTAATCAAAGTTGTTGAGGGCAACATTCACTGACATATTATTATCTCCTTGGATTAATGTTGCTACTTTAGTAACGCCACGAAAGTTAAAAAATAATCTTTATATGCAATCCTGTTTCAGTCTTCAGTTCCTAGATTTGAGCGTCAGTTATCTTTATAATCAGATCAAAGTATTAAAGTATTGAACATACTTTCGCCAACACTTGCTATCATCACTATTTTGATAGTGTTGCATACATTTATGATAAAGTCGGGATCGGAATATGCTTTTTGCATATATTTCTTATGATTATGAAAGAGATTTGTCGCATATATATTTATACATGTGACCTATTGGCGGATTGTGGAAACTGTTCATCATCGAGTGTACAAAGACACTCTTCGTAAATATTCTATACATATATATGTTTTGGTTGTTGTATTTTTGTACAGGTTGCACATGGATAAATAGGTTTTGACACATGACCAACATTTAAAGAAGTAGTCAATTCTGGAACTTAAGATGGCTGAACATTTTGAAAGGACACAGTATCTATAGAGTTCCTGCTGCTAGAACCGAAACGTTTATAGTAGTGGATTCATACTTGAATGTGATAGATTTGAAAAGAATAAGAATTACATGTATTGGATCGTTTTTTTCTGTGATAGAGACCAAGAAGAATTAGTTGCCTGGAAAAGTTAATTCTAAATTAGATTGCATTTTGAAGCCAACTTTGAATTCGAAGTTCTTGCCAGATAGGTGTTACCTTGCTACAATCTGAAAATAGATGTGAAGCAGTTTCTTTCGAAGCTGAACAATAACTACAGGTGTCGTCATCCACGTATCACATGTAAAAAAACCTACTGTTTGTTGGTGTCGGATTTTTATTGAAATCATTGAAGAATAGTGTCTCTTGAACATCTAAATGGGATGTAGTTATATCTTTGCCATGTTTGTATTCTTATATCATTTTCAAGTATATGTTACCATTTTCTGCAGTGTTGATTACTGACAGTATAAATATTAATAAAAGATCTATAGCAAAACTGGCTACCCTTTGATAGTGTAAGTAGACACTTCAAAGTGTGAGGTTGGATAGGATTTTCTTGTATTTTTTGTTTTTCTAATTTAGTATTATTTGCGGAACACAATGTTCCTATATTCTAATTTATATTTGCTTTTACGTTAACCTTACTTACAAATTTATCGTATAATTACAATTGTCCTGATGCTTGGAGCAGGTCACTCACATAACGTACACCTTTTTCATTCCAAGTTGGGTAGTATATTACTTCTCTATCAATTATTTCCTCATATGAACTTCTATTCTTCTATAGTGTATCTGGTGGGTTCGGGAGAGGCTCAGAAAGAGAGACTTGAAAAACTCAGCATACGTTAAAAAAGTTAAAGAATTTAGTCTGGAAACAGTTGAACAATATAAATATACTGACATGACTTTGAAACAACTACTCTTCGTAAATATATTCCAGTGCTTGGATGTGCTGGATTTTTTCACCGCTCTGTGAAGCTGAAAAAGTAGTTTGTTTTCAGGAATTAACAGCAGTGCTTCAGGTCGCCTGGACAGCCAGGACAATATATATCTAAAATAGAGCCCGGTGATGACGTCAAGACTCTGACATACCTCGGTGCTATTACAGATGTGGTCCAGGACATGATACTTGACAGCTGGGCAACATTCATGAGTATCGCGGCTACACACTTCAGCTCATGGAACTTAACATCCATATTGTATTTGTGAAGCTATGTCACACATCATGTAAATATAGTTTCACGCATCATTTCATTACTGCTTACCCAGCTCAATCTGTTGTATTTATATGTATTTTGTCACTGCCGTTGTCAAATAATGTAATGTAATTGTATGTACTACTCTCCAAATCATTGGGGGGAAATAAAGAGTATTCATTCATTCATTCATTCATTCATTCATTCATTCATTCATTCATTCATTCATTCTCCATTGTACGATTTCGACTATATCATAAGCATATGTTTATGAATTTCATACAGTGATGATTACAGGTGTTCGCGAAAAGACGATAATTTGTTTCGCCAATATGATGTGTTATATATAGGAATACAATGCTACAATGCCACGTGTAAATCTCGAATGATGCTTTGCTAGGAAGTAATTCATGCTGACTTATTTTAAGTCCCAGGTAAGGTCAACAATTTGAAGACCACACTGACGACATCCTCGTCTCTTGGTCTGTCGTGGACGGCATCAACAAGTGATGTCCCATTCACCCAGTACATCGTCTTCACAAGCAAGGGAGGCGAATGTTTACGTGCAGTCTACATCCTCTGTCCTCCAAACGATATGATATATGCAGCTGTAAGTGAATTTCAGAGTTATATCACACATGTAGTCATATTACACTTTTGGAAACAATGTTTTCATTTGTTTGTTTATTGATCAAACAATACTTAAAATAGGTGAAGCATAAACCTAACAATTTCTTAAATAACGCAGGACGATTATCTACGGATGACTTGAAAAACTGTTAGACTTGATAACCTTCAAAGCTGTCTGTAGAAGATCAATAACAGTCATTACACCTTTATTCCTCCCCCAAACAGAATACCTATTAATATCATTATCTCAATCTTTGGCTGCAAATAGCTAAGGAAATATTGTGGTGAGGTAATGCTAGTTTTGCTACTTCACTGACCTATTACATATTTTATTGTATTTTGCTCTTTATTTAATACTTACAGTGACAACACATTAATGCGAACCCCGTTAGTCAGGAAAGCATGATCTCTGGACGACTACCTTTTGAAACGGATTCATACATGTATTGGGCTTTACTTTGTCACAATGATTAATTTATCCGGCTATTTGATAACCTGGACGTTCAGGGTACCGTTCTCATTAAAGGATCTTAACTGTTTCTGTTTGCATTAAGAGACCGACCATTTTCTATTCCTTCGACCTTGGGTTTTAAGAACATCATTTGTTCCTGAAAATACATTTGTTTGTTGGACAAATTGTATGCCTGGATACAGATGAAATGTGATGAAATTGATGGGCTCGTTCTAACAGAGGACATAAGTATATGTTTTGAAGCATTCCCACTCCTCAAGCTTGTGTTTAATTGTCTGTTCCTAACATGTAAAGCTTGTGTTTTCTGTTTTCCCATATCGTGCTGTCTCCAGGCCACCTGCAATTCCCTTAGCGCGGGCACGCCTGCAACATATGATGAATGCCATGGTGACATGTCTTACAACCTGACTGACCTGGACTCGAACACAGACTACGTTGTTAGTGTCGCTGCTGCAGCAATTTTCACAGTTGGGGAAACCTCAACACTCAAAGAGAAGACTAATATTGGAAGTACGTATTGCAATATATTGGTTATTCTTTACAAATATCACTAAAATGTCTTTTGGTACAATGGGATAGCAATCATGGCAGTCCGAAAAACTCACTGACTGAATAACGTTTGAACAGTTGCTGAGACTACCTTCAATCTTCGCCCCAATGAGATATTCATTTGATACTGGTGAGATATATTCAAGGCGGTTGTATATGGCCGACATTAAGACCTTTGTTCCTCTGTTCTTTGTTTCAAGGCTCCTGTTGGGTACCACGGTGACATGAGTACGTTATTAACATGTGTCATGGATATAAGTGAAATTATTTTCACTTATTCTCACTGTGCATTACATTTTTTGGTGCATGATGATTGTCCAGATCGTTTCAATTGTTACATTGTTTTCATTTTTTGAGAAGAAGAACGTGGTATCGTATGAACACATTGTCGCAAATAACTGAAGATTCACCAAGGCTCGGAACTTCCAAAATGAATTCACCCGGGACATAAACTCCGTAATATATTGTAGTTCTAAGGTAGTCTCTAAGCAACTGAAATACATGTATTGCTAAACTCGACGCGAAACGTTAAACGCCAACGCAATACAAAATACAAGTTCTAGTATGTGATTAACTATATAAATCAGAGAATATATGATCAAATGTTGAAATGACTCCTTAAATCCTATGCAGCTAGATATTGCTGGCATCACTGGTTGCTATGGATTTCTACCGTCTCACAGTAACACCACATATTACCATCCAGTTCCAGCACCGCCGACCAACATCCGGGGAACTGCTCAGAACAAGTCCGCCATCTTAGTTGAATGGGATATTCCTTCCCACAATGCCGGACCTATGTGGTACAACCTTGTGGTTCTTATTGAATTGGACAGGACGTCTGGTGGATTCATCGCAGATCGTTACTACAACGTTGAAGGTTCGAGCTGGTATCTTCCATATGACCAGTTTACATATTTTTGGAACATGTGACTTTAACAACCGAGTTGCAATTGCCCAGACAAATGACGTAGTTATATTTCTGGGCTTGTAAGAACCATGCCTGTACTCGTGGGTTTCACGAAACTGAGAAACTGCGACATATCGGGTCAATTAGTTAATCTTCAAATCTTGATTGATATAATTAACACACTTTAAACAAGCTTTAAGCTGGTGTTTGGGTAACTTGAATCAAGTTGTCTGGGACTGCCAATTATCCGAGCCTACTCCTCCTTTAAGTCTCTAATCTGAACATGTAAGGCACCGCAACATGTATGGTTCTAGTCACTGGCTGACCTGTCATTTATCTCGGTGGCGCGAGTGATGAAGATGGCTATATTTCCATTGTAAACGTTCACAACTGTGTCAATACAACACTTAACGTTTGTAGTACTTCGTATACGGTACCCTGTCTTCAATATGCCCGAAACTGTATTTCCGGACACAAATAATTGTCTTCGCCTTTGTTTTATGTTGTGAGTAATTAATGTCACGGTAACAGTTAAAAGTCTGCTTTCCATTGTTATATAGACTTGACTTGACTTGTGATGCAGGCCAGAATAGCAGTTCCTGCGAGGTGACGGACTTGTTGAGTTCCTGGAGGTACAGCTTCGCCATCACAGTCAGCACCAGTGCTGGAACCTCAAACATGGCAACATCCAAAGCTGATGTCAGAACGCTGCCTTCTAGTAAGTGAGACTGCCTAAGGATTCGAAATGTTTTATTTCTGATATGTTAATGCACAGACGTATGGCTAAATGCAGAAAAGGACACATTTTCGAAGTTTCAGACACTCCAGCTATGGCTTTGTCCATGATCTGAGCTGAGCTGAGCTTGCATTCAGCAGCACAGCCGTCCAATATATCAGTAGCAACCAATACAGTATGACTACTCGGTGTAGGAAGTCGTCATTCAAAACACATCTCTTCCTCTTCTGTACATTTGTTTTTAAATATTGTTACCTTACAGTACACATTTTTGCATGACTGACATTTTATGTGTATTGGGTCTGTTAGCTGGCTTAGAGGACATAATCGTTCGTTTGTCACGCCGAAGATTCGGGGGTTCCATTTCCCACATGAGTCCTCTTCATATGACTGGAAGAATAATCTTGGATTAGAACCGATTTTCATTTGATCCTGGCATGCCGGGCAACCAGTGCTTACTTGTGACGTGTAATCTTATCTTTCGGTGAACTGTATTACTAATTACAGCCCCAGCTCCTGTGTAATGCACAGATCTGATGAAAACAAATAAATATCGACTGGGTCATCCGTGTCTGGAGAGGAAACAGAAGTGTAATGATATATTGAATCGTGGAACCCCAAATCGGTTAAATACTGAATTAAGATATTTTATTATTCATTAAGCAAAAGATATAATCATTATTTGCGATGTTTCAGAGTAGAAGGACTTAGTACTCGATGGTACGTACGGATAAAATTACCCGTTATGCTTTCTCTATCATAGCTCCCGGTGCAGTGCAGAATATCTGCTTAAAGTTTGTTCATAGTGTGTACCTGGCCGTCAGACTCACCTGGGAATGTCCCCCTGAGAGGATGAGGAATGGACGCATCAGAAGCTACACAATCTCCTACACAGGCAATGTAGGATATTTTACCAAGGAACGCTTGGTTTCCTTTTGCAGCAATTAAGTGCTCGGCCTTGCAAACTGGTCAACTTTTCAACTAGCCATAACCCCAAACTTGAATTCATTTGTGTTTTGCATCCCACCTTAAATTATTTACAAACTAGACATTCTTTAGCTGTATAGCATTGCCTAATCATTAATAGTGTACATGTACTAAAGATTGCATAAATTGGTTCCTTATTGGCGATGGTTTATTTCACGGAAAATATGTATTAGAAGTAAAAGTAGATGCATATTCAAAACCAGAAACAAGGAAACATACGAATAAATGGCGAAACGATTCCTGTAACTACTGATTCGATTATAAACTGACAGCCGTGATATAGCTGTAATACAGCAGAAAACAACATACAAACACAATATAAGATATGACACATTTTGCACTCCCCTGAGTGAAACGTGATTTACCGAATTTTACGATCGTGCCAAAGTCCAAATATATTTCGTCTTTGCAATGGCTTCATAAAAAGAACAATCATTTCTTGTGAACGGCGATATGATTGATGTATCAGAAACTGTTTGCACATACATGTTCGCATATCAGCTAGAGATGTTTGCATTTCTCTTGCGTGTACAAGAATTACAGAACATCACTAAATCATCTTTGGAGGTGTGTCTGAACACATTGACGCTTGTTCAAACAATTATATATCGACGTATGTCGTCACACTGCAGATATCCATGACGTTGACGGCTGGGAGTTACTACCCTGAGGATCCGTGCACCGACCCCCATATGGTGTATCTGCCTGTAATCCCAGATGGGGAGTACACTGTCGAGGTACGTAGGATGCAAACGCCAATGCCGGAGAAGTGCCTCTGTAAGCGTTAAATTGTTCTGGCCAAAGATGCATATCTCATGTAGTACCTGGAATACAGGTCGTATCTTTTCCTGGCTTGATAAGTCAATACTTATGAAGACTTCATATGAGAATCCGTCTTTAACCTCATGGCGTCAGTCAAGGGGCTACGTGAAACGAGAATAAGAACATATAGCTATAAAGAGCGGTTAAAGTGCGACTCAAATGTCGAATCTTTTAAGAGAGGATGAAAGCAAGTAGTCGTAAGACATGCAAGGCATCTAAAGCGGAAATCAATACAACAAAATGCTGCTTTCTTTTGCTCATTAATTAATTTGAGAAATTTGAGATCGAAGATTTTATTTGGACATATAAGTTTAAGGAAATTAGTTATTGATAATTTCAAATAAAGTACAACAAAAGAGTTATGTTAAAATTATTTGAAATAGTTTCTGATGCCTCATGTTAAACAACAGAAACAAACTGAAGTTCCATTTAAAAATACATCTACGGAATATTAATAAAGTGCAAAAACTATTTTACCAAAGGAATCAAGACTTACAGAACGAATATGTCCGAAGTATTGCTTAAAATAAATAAAACAACTATCATAAGTCCTTTTTCTGGTGTATGCTAATTTTATGTAAATTCTTATTTGTATAGGTATGGGCAAATGCTGAATTTCAAGGAATCAAATCAGCAATGAATTTTGTAGCAGACCGAGATAGTAAGTGTACATTACCTCGTTTCAACATAACATTGTGATAACACGGAATAAATTGTAATATACTGTGTAGGTATTTTGTTGCATAAAATTATAAAAAGTAAAGGTTTCTTAATATTCGAAAATGACAATGTTTTTACTATTGAAGGAGCATAAATCTGATAGATGGATAGTGTGATGACTTCTACATTTTGTTCCAGAAATGTTCTACGATTTACCATCGTTTTCCAACACAACCGTGTCGACACCAGGCAAGTTGTAGTGATGTAAATATGTGTATATACTAATACTATTACCAAATTATTCAACAATATTCAACTATATGACAGAGATCTGTAAAAAATCGAGTCTTGATGACACATACCAGTGATTGAGTTTATGAAGCAATGTCCCACGTTGTCAGGGTAAGCTCAACCGAGTCACCGAGCCTGACCATCCGATTCAGGGTTTGAAAACCGGATATGGATCTTAAAGCTATCCTGAAGTCAAAATTGAAACATAAACATTTATATGGTCTTTTTAAGTTCCTGTTTTAAACAAATCATCATGATAAATTTAGATAGTTTCATACGTACTGGCTTAAGTTAAACATTTTAACCTCATTTTCTTTATTTCAGATCCCCACAGCTTAATAGTTGTATCAGCCACATGTGGTTCCATAATAGCCATCCTCTTTGTCGCTGTTATTGCTCTTGCTCTGAGTGAGTAGTTTTGCCATGTCTCAACTGAATACTACGTACATGGTTCCTCTATGTGAGAAAAGACCTGGTCGCACGTGACCTTTCAACCTTGTTCTATGTGAAATAAGTAATTTGGGTATACGTGTGTAATTGATATGTCCAATGTAACCTTCCTGACCTTATTGTTCCGTAAATATAAAACGTAAATAACCAGCCTGAATTATCCTCCAATACAGATTCCATTAGGCGTTCAAGGCAAAGTAGGGGTGAAAATTATATGAATGAATGGCTGCTTTCACGAAAAGGTTAAGCATGTTGTGCGCTTCGTACCTTCAAACAAATTCACCGTATCTTCAAGGATATTTGTTTGAGTGATGATGAATGTAGAACATAATTCCTGACATAGGGTGAGTTGACACGTAAGGTGTCTCACAATTAGAGGGGGTGTGGATGCGACACAAAGTGACAACTTTACACCTTTGGAACAATAGATCAATTACATTAGATTCGGGATGGTACTTTATTTATTATCTCCATTTGTTTTTTAAACTGAGAGCGGAGGATAAAAAAACTATTGTGACCCTTGTAACGGCGAAGGATTAATGCATTTTCCTTCATTCTGACCAGAAACATCGTAACTCACCACAACGCGTTATTGCCCGAAATTGGGCAAGATAGCGAACCAAATGTTACAGACACAGGATTTTATTGGGAAGCCGTGTGTATCATTGAAGGGGAAACTTCCTTACATATAGCCTTTCATATTCATAAGTATTTACATCCTCAGAACCACAGAATAGAAAGACCATTCACGAAGAAACATGCTGTAATTTGAAGTATTTATTTATTTATTCCAAAATGTTGATATTTCTTTGACAATAAAATACTCATTTACCACTTTCAGCAAGATCACGAGCTGTTTCACCTCAACAACGACTGTATTTCGTTCATTAGGTTGACTGATCACCAGGGTGAACAAAATCTGGAACGAATGGAGAACGAAGAGACAGTTCATTTGCAGAACAAATAGTGTCAACAATACTGCATTTGTCCTTATTGAATATTGAGTTCACTGACAGTGCGGATCCAAAAATTCCCACCATCGTTTGAAAATTACAAAATGTAATTGTGGACACCAAAGACCCTAATACCTTCGTTCAATTGAAATACTCGTGCAAATTGTCAGGTGACAACCAAAAATGAAGTACATGAACCTTCAAATGAACAATCCTGGATCCGCCTCTGATTGAACTGTGCTTATGAAGATACCTACGTACCATAGGTGATTCCAGCACACCTGCTGTTCTGTGATAGTCTTGTAATCAAAGAATGATACAGACACATTCATGTTTGATGACAGAAAATACATACGTCTTCACTGCTTTGATTTTGAATGGAAGTTTTATTATTTTGGAACGATTGTACCTAAAATACCTCAACGTACTTACCCAGAAAATCAAAGAGAGCAAATCATTAGCATGCACCAAATAGGCATGTCAAGTCGGGCTATTGCCACAGTGCTGAACGTTAATCATACTGTCATCAGTCGACTCTGTAGAAATCACACATGGACTGGACATGTGAGGAACTTGCCGAGATCAGGACGTCCACGGACGACCAGTGCCACACAGGACAGGCAAAAACGGCTGCCAACTTCAAATTGAACTGTTCTTCGTTATCACTGGCACATCCACAACAGAGCGTCTCTTAGCACCATCAGGCGTCGACTGAATGAAACATAATTAGGGGCCAGAAGACCAATAAGACGTCCAATCCTCACACCCAACACATGCGGAACCGTTGTCTGGTGTCCCGCTCGAGCACAGGTCATGGAGGAACTTGAGGTCATGGAGGAGGGTTCATTGATCTGACGAGAGTCGGTTTTTCATTTTACCACACCAATGGAATGACTCTTATCATAAGTGCAACATCCAGGAAACAATGGCATGTGGTTGCGGCTCGGTGATTGATATGCTGCTCCTTTGATTGTAAACTTGATTTGGTCTCAGTTCAGGGGACATTAAATGGACAAAGGTACAAAGATGTTATATCTGATCGTTTTATTGTGCCTCATTCTGATAACCATGCACTTGCCACACGTCCTGTCTTCATGGACGACAGGGTCAGACCCCCCTGAGCATGAGCTGTGATTGACCGTCGCCAGAACAACGCAATTGAGAACTCTGAATCCAATCGATCATATATGGGATCATTTGGGAAGAATTGACCCAGGCATTGCATCAGGAATGGCAACACATCCCTCAGTTGTGGATCAGGCACCTGATTTTGAGCACGAGGAGACGTCCTTCGGATGTGATCCGTGTATTGGTTTGCTACACCACATATTGACTTGCACTGTTGGTAATTTAACTGTGACACAGGTACAACGTTACTAAGAAACGTACATGTACGTGTTGATCTGTCCATCTCATTCCTGACACTTACGCAACTTATGCTTCCTCTATTGTATCCCCAGTTAGATTCCTTGTAGTAGTTGTCGAATAAAGTTGCTTCTTTTTTTTATCACCTTCTTTCACTTGTGTAACATATTGGATTGCCTGATTGCCATCATCTTTGTGAAATGGGGTCCAAGACCCTCTGACAAGAAAGAGGAATCGCCATGGGTACAAATACCTTAATCCTCAATTACCCACAGAAATCCTCTATCACCAATGTAGTATATCTTCATATCTATTAAGATATATGACATTCCCTACCAATTTCCCATTTAAGAAGCGACGTCACAATCTCGTTGTCTCCAACCAGAATTCTTCTCTCATGTGTGTAATTTGATTAGACAGTAACTATGGTGGCGAAAGAGTCAAGGGTATTTATCATAATAGTGAGTGAGTGAGTGAGTGAGTATGGTTTTACGCCGCTTTTAGCAATATTCCAGCAATATAACGGCGGGGGACACCTGAAATGGGCTTCACACATTGTACCCATGTCGGGAATCGAACCCGGATCTTTGGCGTGACGAGCGAACGCTTTAGCCACTAGACTACCCGACCGCCCCTTATCATAATAGAATGGAGATATGATACACTGGATTAGCTTTATATTATATCTCTTCTTGTTCACCTGATTCTTCATGGATATGAATCTGAATGTTTGAATATCTGGCTCGCTCTAAGAACAAACATATATAGAGCACAAAAAGTATTTTCACATTTGATGACCAATTTTCGGTTTACTATCAGCAGAGTGGGGTTATATATACCCATGATTTAGACACCAATTTTGATTTGAGGAAACAACACAGTGAAGCTCATCTGTTACATGCCTCGTACTATGCATAGACATTCAGGATATTATCCCTCTCTTGACAAATGTCCATGACAATGGGATGGCTTCAATTTTCCAATCTCTAAACAACATAATTTTCCCCGCATTTGGTGTTGAAAACTCACAAATTACTGCAGTCATGGCACCTGGAAAGCATGGAAAGTAAATATGAATAAATGCGACAACCCAATTCTTTAATCGTAAGATATCTCTGCTAAATGTAGTGTCCATTGTACAATTTCGACTATATCAGGAACATGTATTTATGAATCGCAAATAACGATGATGACCCCGGGTGTTTTTGCGAAAGGTGAGCGTGTTCTTATCCATTAGTGGCACGGGGTCACAAGCACATGTAAAAGCAAGACAATTGTTTACTGTCTTTCACGCCCCCTTTGGAAATGTCCTCCACGTGTCTATCATAAAACATTTTGAAATCTTTACTTATGGCTTGAATGTAGTAAGTCACATGGCTATGCTCGATGTACCTCAAAGGTTGTGAAGACACCAAACCCTGGAGCTGCTGGAATATCGCCCGACATTAGCGGAAAATGACAATTGGGTGCGATATTCCAGCAAATTCACATATATATTTCTCTTATAGCGACATATATTCAGATCATTAGCATTTACAAAATTTTTGCATGAAATAATTGTAAAATTAGAAAACTTAATCTCCTCAGTAGGTATATAACAACAGTGTTTTGTGAAGTAGAGTATTTTGTATTGTGTATATTCTACAATAGTACATTTATTTTTACAGATTTAGAAACATATTCCAGTTTCCACCCTTGACGAACATTAAAATGTCACTTAAGCGATAAAATTACCTTAGAAAACCTCTTGTTCACTTTTCAACTTTATCTCTTTGTGAAACATGGAAATGATTTTTGTGAATTGTTATCACCAACCCATAAACTGTTCGTGGCATATACAGAAAGTTGTGTTTATTGAAAATCAGAAGTAACAGATGCAGTATATTAACGTTTTGATAAACATTTATTAAAAACAGACCAAGACTGTGTGCTACGTTCAATGTATTTATCACCAGAAGATTCGTCCTATTATGAGGGGAAGGCGAACAAGAGGATTCTTGACAGAACATAACCGCTATGTACGATGCCAACATCATACTAACTGGAGATTTTAGCAGTAGAATAGGTGACACTGAAGATTTCTTTGATGATAATGCATAGTATCTACCTGGAGGGGAATGGTATTGTAATTCGGAACTTCGAAAGGAGATTGGTATTTTTGTGTAATACTTACTGTCTACATGTGCTGAATGGAAGATTCCCTGGTGATAAAGACGGTAATTGTACTAATGGACCTAGTGTGGTAGACTATGTAATTGCCAGTTCGGCCCTCGTCCGTGAAGTATTTGATTTTGAGGTTTATAAGCACGACGAATTTCCCCATCGTCAGTGCTATTAACGTAAAGACCAAGTTAAATGTTCTATCAGGAAATTACACTTCATACGCTGGATTCATTTGGGACTTAGAAGATACTTTCATTTGGAACTTAGCTGAAACTTTCAAAACATTATTATCAGGATGCAGCTTAAGCTATGACAGACAGCATGCTTGTGGAAATGGATTCAGAACATGACTCTACTGTTAATGCTTCAACGCTACTTTGAGCGTCCAGAACAATGTATGAATAAACGTTAGAGACCTCCTTGGTGGAACCAAAACTGTGATGTGTCAGACAAATACGGGGCTCTGGATAAGTTCCGTTTGATAAATCAAACAGATGAAATAAAGGAATATAAAAGACGTTTAAGACTCTATACAGATGAAAGCAAGATGAATAAAAAAACCCGAACAAATTGATGAAATATGAAATGAAGAACTTTGTTCAAACTTTTAATTCATCAAATTATGCCAATAACATCACAAGAATGGTAACATTATTTTGAAAACTTATTAAATTCTAACACCGAACATACAACTTTGGACAATATTGTGGAAAGAACCTTGGCAGAAAATTGATGAAACTTGTGATCTGTGTGATCACCAAATACCTTACGACCTAAATGACCCTATAATGACTGCTTAAGTTTCGGAAACAATAAGAAATATGAAAAATAGAAAATCTCCAGGGTGCGACGGCATAACCTTTGAATTGCTATTTAGATAATTTGTCACACATCCTCTAGATAAAATATTCAATAAAATTCTGGAACAAGGTTTCTTTCCAGAAGAATGGAACAAGGCCATAATTTCCGCTGTTTATAAAAGATAAAAAAAAAATGACACAAACAACTATAGAAGGATTTCTTTATTGCCAATTATAGGAAAACATTTCTGTAAAATTATGAATTAGAGATTGCAAAAGAAGTCAGATCGAAACTATGTTATTTTGCAAAATGAAGCAGGTTTCTGGAAAGGATATGGAACTAGTGACACTATTTTCACACTGCATGGAATGAATGAAAATACCCGGGGTAGCTTTTATTGTTCTTTCATAGACTACTCTAAAGCTTTCGATTGTGTCAGTCACCAGCATTTAAGGTACCGCCTAACACAATAAATTATAATCTTGAAAATATACTAAAGTGATCAGAAATATGTACCCAACACTTAGGTCCTGTGTTAGAACTAACGACGGATTAACAACATATTTCCAATGCTTCACAGTTACAGGACAAGGTTGCACGCTCAGTCCCCTTTTATTTTCTTTCTTTATTGCCTAACTTGACTAGTAGATGCAAAAAGCAGGCTGTAAAGGCATTTTTGTTTTCTGAGAATTTTTCGAATATTTGCTCTTTATTTCATGCCGATGACGTAGACAATTCAACCGATTCTGCTGGGCTACTGCAAAAAGAGATCAACTGTCTTTGTGATTTCTGTGAGAAAATGGGGCCAAACCTTGAACGCAGATAAATCACCAATGTCCATGTGTGTTTCGTAATGGTTGTTATCTCCGAAATTATGAAAAATGAACATTCCAAGGGAAAAGAATACAAGTTGTTTCGGCCTATACATATATTGGCTCACACCCAAAGCAGTATGGTCCAGAGCAGTTACATCACTGGCTAAACAAGCAGAAACAGTATGTGTAAGTTTATAAGTAAACACAATATGTATCGGACTTTCCATATAGCCTCTCGTCTCTTTGACACTCTTGTTCTACCCATCCTTACCCGTGGTGCCGTAATATGGGGTGTAATGAAATATGAACAAGAGTGCAGCATAGTTTCTTCAAATGAATGCCCTATTTACCAAATTCTGCAAGCAATAAGGCGGTCTCAGGTGCTTGTGGGAGACACGCCGTCTTTTTTACCTGTGTTTTCAGGTGTATTTCGTACTGGTGTAAAAATCCTTAAAATGAATACTAATAGATTGCCGAATCAAACCTATCTTATGTCATACAGCCTGGACAGTATAAACAGGTCGTCGCGGATAACATATGTAAAATACATATTATTTAAATATGGATATGGATCCACGTGGATTGTTCAGGATGTGGAAGATACTAGTATTTTCTTATCTGAATTTAAATAACGATTAGCAGATGTTGACAGAAAAAGATGGCATATTGAAGTAGAAAATAATTCTAAATTAACAGATTATACAACTGACATATCCTTAATGTATGTTGAATTGAATCTTTCATGTATGAATCAAATATTTATTAGGCAAGCTCTATCGAGATTTCGAAGCGGGTGTCACAACTTGATGATTGAAATTGGGCACAGAACAGGTACTGATGTTGAATTCCGAATTTGTACTTATTGTTTTAGATATGGCAATGATCATGTTGAAAAAGAGTTTCACTTTTTATTGATCTGTGCAGCATTCATGATATAAGAGTTAAGCATATTCATGTTATTTAGTGCAAAAAAAACATGATTAAATTCTTTTGAAAATTTAATGAAAACTGACTGTCCAGAAACTGTTCTAAACTTCGCAAATATATATATATTTGGCGTTTAAGTTGTACTCTTCACTTCATACATAAATTTCAATTAGAAATTAAAGATACTGGAATGTATAGATGATGAAGTGTATGTTTGACTGAATGTTTTTTGCATTGTTCATCATTAAAACACATACACTGGGCCTGCCTGTGGCCTGAAATGTTTTGAAACCAATTCGATACATGAGAAAAAATAACAACCCAAATAACCTAAATATTGGAAAAAAAGTGATGATAAATTAAGCTCGTTTTGCAATTACGAATCTTAATCTACAGAACAACTTTTTTTTATTGTAGTGAGACAAGAAACCTAATTTCAAAATTCATTTACTGGTATGAAGAAAGAACTACTAAGACCCTGCATCTCGATAACGTGTCATTCATACTTGGAGACCTAAAGCTGAGCATTCTCTCCACTTTGTACTATATCTATCTATCTATATCTATATCTTTCTATATATGTATCTATATATATCTATATCTATCTAATATATCTATATCTATCTAATATATCTATATATCTATCTATATATCTATCTATATCTATCTAATATATATATATATATACACACACATATATATATATATATATATCATGGTGATATATAGTGATATATATCAGTGTTAAGATAAACGAAAACTAAGTATATATCTATCTATCTATATCTTTCTATATATGTATCTATATATATATCTATATATATATCTATATCTATATCTATATCTATATATCTATCTATCTAATATATCTATCTATATATATACACACACACACACATACACACACACATACATATATATATATATATATATATATATCATGGTGATATATAGTGATATATATCAGTGTTGAGATAAACGAAAAGTAGTCAATTCTTAACTTAGTTTAGATACTGCTATCGTATCTCCTCTCCCGCACCCTTTTCTAGTGCACAACCCTATCCTACCCACCTCACCTATTACCACGTGGGCATATAAAGGGGTCGTATAAATCGTGTTTTTCTATTGTGAACAACGGTGGAAAATACACAAAAAACACTGAAAACCCAACTACCCTTTAATTGATTACACATTAAGATCATACTGTCATCTGACATAACACATGCGCCATGCTTAATACTAAACAAGATGACATTCCATATAAGAACTTTCTAAAGCGGTCTCATTGAAATTTGTCGGTTGGTTTAGAAATGTAAAGTCAAGGTGTTACAAGAAATATTTTTACAAAATTTTACAAATAAATACCACGCAATGACAATTGACATGCGATAGTAATACACAATGGCGTGGCTGAATTTCAGAATTTAAACGCTTACTAAGAAAATGCTGTATTTGTACAATGGCTATCAAGATTCAGTGTAGCCCACACATTCAGTATACTGGCAGTTCACTGCAGTGGAAATACGTAGGATCAAAATCAGATGGACCAAAGAGCACGTAATAAATATTATTGTGAAATCTGCTTGTGGTGGCCTACCATATCAACAGTATCACGGGATTATTAATTGTCCGCTCCTATATTTATAACCCACTTGCCCGTATGACTGGGCTGATAGCGGTCAAGTATCTTGTTCAGGTACAAAGGTTCGCCAAGTGTAACCTTAATTCTCGCCGGCTCCCGTTGCTGAGATTTCTCGCACAATCGACACATATTGACTTTAAAGATGGCTACCCCTTTGAAGTACAGCTTATTTCTCGTGGAAGTCCTCGTTCTAGCTGTGATTCGGGTAAGATTCTTACTTCAGAATTTTGTTTCTTGTCTACTTGTCATTGCATTCGCTCAGACACAATATAGACACTACATTGACCTTTTATTAACCCCCCCCTTGAAGAGTCCACCCGTTTAAAACACATTCAGCTGTACTACACATTGTGTTCTACCAGAGCGCGTGCCTATGTACTGCTGCAACAAGCTTCACTGCAAAATATTGAAAAAAACCCATCATCCCTGGGCTTATTCAACAATATTGCGTGTTGAGATGATGATTGACTGAGTGTAGCTTATGTACACTTGATGATCCCCGCAACCCTGTGACAAGGCTGACGTCACATGGTATTGTGTCGCTACATGGACATTATATACACTATATTGAAACTATGCGCACTACATGTACACTATACATACTATATGCGTAATGTATACACTTCATAGGCATTATAGGGGCGGTCGGATAGCCTAGTGGTTAAAGCGTTCGCACGTCACGCCGAAGACCCGGGTTCGATTCCCGACATGGGTACAATGTGTGAAGCCCATTTCTGGTGTCCCCCGCCGTGATATTGCTGGAATATTGCTAAAAGCGGCGTAAAACAATACTCACTCACTAACTCACTCATAGGCATTATATATACTACATGGGCAATACATACACTACATCGATATTATATATACTTCATTGACACTATATGCACTCCATGGAGACTATGCACACTGAGCAAGATATGCACCACATGGACATTTTAAACACGACATGGTGACTATATACACTACCTGGGCGCTGTATATACCGAATTGACACTCAATACACTACATTTATATTATCTACACTACATTGACACTACATATATATGCACCACATGGACATCATATGTACTACATGGAAACTAATACACACTTTATGAGTACAGTTAACTACGGTTATAACGAACTCAAAAGGACCACTAACTTTAGTTCGTTATAAACGTAGTTCGTTATAAACATTTCAACTGAAATAACAGCAAATGTCCGGGACCTAAAAACCGTTCGTTATATCCGTTAGTTCTTTATAAGTGTTCGTTATAAAGTTAACGTAGGTAACTGTAACGTATACACTACATGGACACTATATACACTATCGGTGCACTATATATAATACATGGAAATTATATATACACACTTCCTACGCAGTATATTCACTACATAGGTACTATGTGCACTACATAGACACTATATACACTACCGGGGCACTATATATAATACATGGAAACTATATATACACACTTCCTACGCTACAATGGCACTAAATACACATGAGAAATATATACACTAATGGTGAGTGAGTTGGGTTATAGCCGCTTTTAACAGTATTCCAGTTATATCATGGCGTGTCAGCTTAATGTGGGAGGAAAGCCCGAAGTGATGCAGGTCTCAGACGTTTACCACTTCGGTGAAACCCACGAGCACGGGTATGGTGCTGACAAACCTAATCCTAATTATGAAACATAATCGGGGGGAACCGGGATTCGAACCCACAATCAGAGGTTTCTGGCGTGCCCAAGGGACGCAACTCTGCACAGCGAATCGCGGCGCCTTAGACGACGGGGCCACCCGTGCTCCCCATATACACTAATGGGAATCAGATTGACTACATGAACAATCCTTGCCGTGTATATAGTGTTCATGTAGGGTATATAGTGTTCGATAGTGTCTGTGTAGCCTTCACAAATGTCCATTAATGTATATATTGCTCATCTGTATTTAGTGTCATTGTACTGTATATAGTGTTCATGTAGTGTAGATACAATGTAGTGTCCATGTGGTGTAAAAAAAGTTTCCTTTTGCGTAGAAAGTGTCCATATAGTCTATCCAGTGTCCGTGTTGTATACATGGTGTCCATGTTGTGTATAAAGTGTCAGTGTAGTGCATATAGTGTCAGTATAGTGGAAATACGTAGTGATGTGTACGTAGTGCTGTTAGGCCCTCCCCAAGACGTGCACTATCCTCTCGGGACAGATAGATCGTAGATCGTTAGTGATTGTCTCTATATTTGTTTGACATGATTTCGGTCAAATCATAATTCGCCACAGAGCTCCTCATCTACGACAACAGAGGTCACGCCAGCAACGGTGACAGCTACAGCTATCCCCGGCCTCGGTGACAGGTGCACGACGGAGTGCAGTCCCCCCGACATGGTGGAGTGTGTGAACCATGTGTGTCAGTGTATACCTCCCCTCAATAGTACTGGCAAATACTGTGTCACCGGTAGGACAAAAATCAGCTTTACTACTACTACTACTACTACTACTACTACTACTACTACTACTACTACTACCACTACTACTATGTAGCACTGGTGTTGAACTGGTGTGTTTGAAAAAAGTAGAATTAAAACATAGTCAAAATTCAATTTCAATATTTTTCCCTTAGCCAGGTTATATTAATTAGGATGTCATATTTTTGCCCATCAGAGGTATACAGCAGTTAGAAAGGGACACAACATTTAAAGTGTGTCTACTCTTTGACAACAGGCATCGGAGTCCTCGGATTTGAACATGTGAGTCTCGACATTTGGATGTGTCGTGTATACATACGGCATCAATCTGTACTTCCAGATAATAGTCCCCACCATCATAATTAGTCTTAGTTGGTCTTAGTTAAGTCCAATTATCAATACATATATATGATCACAGTTACCTTTGTCTATATTTGGCTTTTGCAGATCCGGGTGAGGTTGGGGATTTCAGCTTCACCAATGTGACGAACTCCTCTGTGAGCCTTTCTTGGGATCGGCCCACGACACCGGGTGTTATACAGTATTATGATATAGTTTTCAATGCTAATGGAGTGTGTTCGCAAGAGGTTTTGCTCACCTGCACGGAGACTGCCCAAATGTCGGTACGTGTTATTTGTTCACTGTAGGTGCTTTTCTCCAAAGGATGTGTTCTAATGCTGACGAAAAATAAATAATTAATTTCATTAATAAGGGCGGACAATGTATACCCTTCTTTTTGTTACCGGAATAGTTTTAGTTTTTTTATGATATAGTTTTGTGTGGAATTATGTCAACACTTTTATTTCAAACGTTAGTTTTAGAAACGTGTGCAAATAACGCTTTTTGTCTTTTTATTGATGAAAAAAAAGCAAAAAAGTTGAAACAATCCCTCTGCTCGAACGTTATAAAATATGGCATGCTCGCATGGAGATTACACCAATCTCAATGGTGTATGGTGCGCTTTTAATATTCCGGCAATTTCAGGGTGGGGGACACCAGAAATGGGTTTCAAATATTGTACCCATACAGAGGAATTGACCTTCAGTGAGAGAAGCGAAGGATTTAACTATTAGGCTTTCCCCTAGTACGATAATTGCAGCGACCTATTCATAGAGACCTATAGTCGCAAATTTAGAAAAGAGATATGGTAAACACTTTCTTATAAATTGAAAACAGACAAAATAAAAACAAATTCTTCTTCTGACAAACCTTTATGACGTCCAACCAACGTTTGCCTCGTAACATATGTTGTATTTGGGATTACACTCTCTTTATAAAGTAAAGATTCTAGTACTTGTTTGGTTAAGTCCTTTCCGGGACTCAAACCCACACTCTCAGAGTGAGGCACCTAATCGTCAGCACACTTTGTCGAAGCATCGGTGGCTGAGTGGGTTAGATCGCTGACTTCGTGTGCTGGCGATTAGGTTCCTCACAAGGAGAGTGTAATCCAAGATATAACATATGTTACATTTGACCACTTTCTCAATGGCATCGTTTATTTATACGTTTGCCTCTGATCTGCGATTCTGTATAGGAGCCCTGATTTTTGTCCAAACCGTGTACGTTAGATTAATTGTTTTCAGGGATCATGCCAATTTGTCTTCACTACTTCACTACCCAGTTGTTACGGCAACATCTCTTTTGACGTTTCCTCGCTGCAACCTTACACAAACTACACCATTAGCATCGCTGCCAGAAATGAGTTATATGATGGAACAAATTCAACGTTAACCATTGAAACGGATATATCAGGTTGGTAACGGTTTGGTTGTTGCCATGCCAATTAGCTTGATTTCATAGGTAGATCAAGTATGTTCGCTATTTTATTCAAAACCCTTTTCACCAGGACAAATTAATCCTTTGTTTGCACAGAATAATTACCGAATAGGATCCAGGAACGTGACGCTTGTCTTTATTAACGTCACAATTGACTGGGTGGTCAGGCTCGGTGACTTGGTTAGCTGCGTGGGATCAGTACCCCGACGAGAGTTGATCGTTACTCATTATATCCACCACTGGTTTGTTGCGCTCAAATTAGATTATTAATAGCATAGTATATCATCTTATACCATGCAAGGGACTCTTAGACATATAAACCCTGAATACGAAAGGCTTGTTACACGTTAGGGTAGTGTTAAATATTTCGCGATTTTAGTTACGAGGAGATATTGTTTAAGATCTGATCATCAGTTTTTTGGGCGTCTTAATCAGATTTATCTGTTTCTTCAATATCAATATCATCTTCCGTGAAATCAACATCACCCATGAGACCAAACGTTTCACCAAGTTTATAAACTTGTGGGCAAAAGACACTTCTCTGTTGATTCTATCATTTATCAAGATATATATATATATATGTCTTAAATTAACGATGTTATATCAAAAAGATGAACTGTATTAGCGCTGCGTCAGCCCTCAAAGAATACTTTTAGAATAAAATAATGGAGATATGTATTTTAGACATCTTATCTTTGAAAATAAATACATTTAATCTTTTCAGGATAAGTTACAACCTTTCAAACATTGTTTGTCGTAAATACAATCGTAAATGTGGTCGCAGATTTATGTCTTACCCAAGTCTTCATTGAACCAATTCATTTTCCCCAAAATTACCCAACCATACCTTTTACAAACTGTTGAGTGAGGAATGAGTGATGTCCAAAAAGACATAATCACATTTTACAAAAGTTCTCTTAATGTTCAATGATATAACAAACAACAACTCTGTATACCCTCTTTTGTCCCCCAGTTTATCATTATTAATAAATTGTAATTATTTCCTAGCCCCTTTACAACCAAGCAACGTCGTAGCAACCGTTCTGAACGCCACCGCCATCCATGTGTCCTGGTCACAACCGTCACACGATAACGGCCCCACCTGGTACAACGTCACCGTGTTGGAGGCCACGGGGAGACGCTCGTCAAACTTCACCCTCAAGACAACAGTACAAGTTGATGGTAGGGAAAACAATTGGTCATATCAACTAAGAGATGCAGTAAAGTGTCTCGAACGTATCACTTTCGAACCAACCATAACCATTATTGGACATTGCAGAAGTATATACATCAAGAAATATACACCAGGAATGGGCGTCACGCATTGTACCCATGTCGGGAATCGAACCCGGGTCTTCAGCGTGACAAGCGAACGCTTTAACCCCTAGGCTACCCGACCGCCCCCATAGAGAAATGGATGCAAGTGTGTACATATACATGTTAATGTCAAGTCGTAAATATTACAGCTACAGTTACAGTGTTACTTAACTTGGGTCAACATATCTACATAATTATCTTACCCCTGAAGATCCAGGTTAGAATGGGTCTCCAGGAATCCATGCGACCCGTGAAGATCCGGGGTAGAATAGGTCTTTAGCAAACCATGCTTGCCGTAAGAAGCGACTATGCTTGTCGTAAGAGGCGACTAACGGGATCGTGTGGTCAGATTCGCTGACTTGGTGATGCATGTCATCGATCCCAATTGCGTGGATCGATGCTCATGATGTCAGTCACTGGATAGTCTGGTCCAGACTCGATTATTTACAGACTGCCATCATATAGCTGGAATATTGCTGCGTGTGACTTTATAAACAAACAAACAAACAAACAAACAAAAAACAAAACAAAACAAAACGAACAAACAAACAAACAAAAACATAATTATCTTGCAGTCATTTCCTCAGCAATGCTGAAAAAGGGTGCAAGTGATCGAGTTTGGTTTAAACCCGCATCGAAGAGATTTTACACTTCAATAACGGTGTGTCAGCACGATGTGGGAGGAAGGCTCAAATAGATGAAGGTAGCAGTTATGACCAGCATCACTTCATAACATGCACATTATTTCTCTGAAAGGATAAGCCAAAGAAGTTTATGAGATCCACACAAATATTTTGCAGAATATCCAGTATGGTCGGTAAAATAAATATATTTTTGGTGAAACATGATCTCTCTCTCTCTCCCCCCCCCCCCCCCACACACCCCCAACCCCCACTACTTTTCGGGAAAAGATTATTTTTTCAAATAGTTTCAGCATATACAATGGATGATTTTCTGATATTGCTTTTACACACTGATCATGAAGTATTTGTAATGTTCAAGCTAACAATATTTCAGCTCAATACCGAAATCAAGATCGATATATTTGTAGTACTGAAGAATGTTGATCCCATTCTTTAACTAAAATCCATCCCGACCACAATTATGTCGGTTAATGGTATTACCAGATCAACCTTATTAACTCGAATTCCTTTGGAACATTAGAAAACATGTTTTTTTGTAGTTCGAGACACGCGGAGTGCCGATATAACACCGATAAGGATTTTACCAGGACCCTAAACGTACATCGTCGTTAACGTAATACATCTGGATATGGTGTTCGAGTCTTCACAGTCTGTCATCAATATCCATATTTGTAAAGTGCCTGTTTAAATTCCAGGGTTCAATACAACGTCATGTGAGGTACCAGGTCTCCTAAGTTCGTGGGAGTACAAGTTCACGGTGACGGCATACACTCCCGCAGGCTCTGCGCAGGCTCCAAACACGTCAGGTGTCGTAATGACGTTTCCAGCAGGTATGATTGTCCACTGTCGGAACCTTATAATACGGGTCTTAAATATACTGACGCCACCGTTCCAAGCTGTGATGTTATCAAAACCGTGTGAAACCATACTCTCATAGAGTGTCGAACCGACTGGAAATAGATTTGGTATTCTCTTTTGCATATCGGGAATTCTTTCCAAATAGTATTTGTGTCATTGTCAGTTATCCCACAGGGAGGGTATGTAAGACGTCATTCATAGTGTACTCATTTCTGTCACGTTTTTAGTCGTAGAATATGTGTTGTTTTTATGTTTGACTAAAATTGTCAATAATGGCAAACAACTTAAGGGATGGTGTAGATCCTGTTGGGTTCCATGCAGGTAGCAAACGTAACTGTAAGTCCCCCTGGTCCCTAGTTTGGTAATCTATCTTCATTTGCTGGCGATCTATAGCCCATTTTTATCGTGTATAGTTATGTATAGTGATATTTGTTATGGCTACACACTTGTCGAATATCGATCTGTGATATTCTAGGTATTTTACTGTCTTTGTTGACAGATTTATAGTCGAAATGTATTTATTATGTATAATCTTTGATAGTCACGATATGACTGAAATACTGCCGATGTGATTTTAAATTCTAACTCACTCACTCACTCACTGTCCGTTATGCGTGAGCTGAAATTTATGAAAATGTACTTCTTTCTCAATCATTGTTGGTGGGGATTTTGAAATAATGAAACGTAGCATTATATATGTTTCAATATGCAGAGTTGAAGCTACTACAGTATTCAAAGTATGTGTGTCAATACATTTTGGACACAAAACTCGCTTTCAAGTTTTAGAGACCACAGAAAGTTTGAAATGTGGCGCTCTTTAATATCCGACTGTGGTGCATATCGTTCAGTTACAAATTCAATTTAAAGCGGTTAAATTTACATGTATCTCAAGTTTGCATTTAAACACAGCGTGTTATCCTATACTAATACCAGAGTTGACCACTAATTATATACCTTCTTATCTCCACTGTAACCTCAAATACTCTCTAAAACCAAAGAGCCTGGTCCAGTGGAGAACCTGACTGCCTCTGCTCTCCCCGAGCCCTACTTTGGAATGATATTAACGTGGGATTGTCCCGAGGAGAAACAGAGGAATGGCCGCATAATGAACTACACCATCCACTACAAGGGCGGTGTATGTATAACGTCACATTGTTTTAAACAGATGGCTTTATTCATAACACAAAAATGAATGTTCTGATTTTCAACTCGGTGATAGTATCACAAAATACATACATGTCTCGAGGTTAATACAACAATCCAATATGCACCAATATATTATTCCACTTCTACAACATAGGATATCTATACTTTTCTTCCTATCGTCCAAAATACTCTTATGAAATTATGACCGTTTAAACTGTCACCTCTTTAAGCACTTTCTCTAGACATCTCGAAGATTCTTTGACATGGCTTGACTTGTTTAACCATGGTTCCCTATATCAAACAATGTGAGATTTCACGTGGCTCTGGAACGGATTTTGTCATTTTTATTAAACAAGGTACATATGTAACTGCATCTTCTTGAAAAGCTCATATGGAACCCATATGGACCATAATGACATAGTTATTATTTAATACAAAAACATTATAGAAACACACATGCACATCTAGTATTCAATTCACATATTGATCATTTCCTGAAGCACACCCGGAAGCTTCCTCTGTGTCTGGAATTTAGCTTAATCTGAAATGGTGTATGCTACTATGGATTTATTAATATGATGTACATACAGCAAATATACCACCTCCTCTTTCTCTGTCTGAAATGTTTAGCGACGTCATAGACATCAAACCGGAATACCTTCTTTAATGTATGCAAACAATATCTTATAAATCACCCTTCTCCTTTCCCGTTTATATTCCTGTATAAAATGTTTATCATTATCTCATATGCATTCACCTTGTGAATATGTATATTGTGCAGGTATCAAAAGTGGAGCATTACGGGAGATACACACCAGAGGATCCATGCACGGACACGAAGTCAGTGTTGGTGCCGATGGCGCCCGTTATCAACTATACGTTTACCGTAAGTATAGCAGGACTTGGTGTACATATTGAAATAGAGAATGACCAACGGGCTACGAGTAATCACGGACTGTCTGTAAACCCCTAATCTTAATGAATGAATGAATGAATGATCTTTATTTCCTCCATTAATTCGGAGAGTGATATACATATGTAATGTAATTAATAGCATTATGCAGAGAAATTGAAAGTTTCAGAATACCACATGTTTACATGGCATGATCATGGTATGAGATACTGTTTATAGATAAATCATTGATCGCAGGTTCCGGGAGCATATGCCATTTCATATAGATGATATGAATTCAGCCCAGCTATCATGGCTCGCATCTTCTACAATAGGGTTTATCTAAGTCTTCAATACACATGTATTGTTCTAGGTTTAAAGTGTCAAATTGGGTGCTCAGTAAGGGTTTTCCTTGCATCAGCTAAAGCTTTATAACATAGCTGTTGTCTTTTATAGTCATCTACTTTTGATTATAGTGAGTGAGTGAGTATGGTTTTACGCCGCTTTTAGCAATATTCCAGCAATATCACGGCGGGGGACACCAGAAATGGGCTTCACACATTGTACCCATGTCGGGAATCGAACCCGGGTTTTCGGCGTGACGAGCGAACGCTTTAACCACAAGGCTACCCGACCGCCCCTTTTGATTATAAATATATTAGCGATTGAATTATAATTGGCAATTAAATTACCAATTTGGCATTTTGTAAGTCGATTGATTTATTAATCAATCACTTATTTGTAAATTATTGATTTGATATTTTGTAAGTCGATTGATTTATTAATCACTTATTTGTACTTATTTGTTACAGGTTTTTGCAAATGCAGAATTTACAGGGAAAAAGACGTCTATTATTTCAAGAATGGATCCTAATAGTAAAGAATAGTAATTATTTGTTATCTCATCCTGCAACTAAATCTAACTACTTTCCATACTGAGGTTTAACACATTTTTTAAATCAATGTTATTCGGTGTAACAACTCATTTCACAGTCATGTACATACTGTGGCTTGTACAGTACCAACAGACTGATGCATCCATGTGTTCTGCCTTACATAGGTATGGTGTTTGTGCTGCCGGCAAGGGCCAAAGACATTCAGTGTATGTATATTTTCACATATTTCTTCAAGGGGCGATTGGAGAGCTCAGTTGTTAAAGAGCTGGCTCGTCCCGCCGAAGACCCGTGTCCCATTATTCACGTGGGTAGAATGGTTAAAGCCCATTCTTGGTGTCCCCGACGTTATATGGGTGACATATACTCAAAATACACATACATGTACTCGTTACTCCACTCAGGCCTAAATACATCAACACAAAGGTTACAAATAATATGTAGCCTCATTTATATTTTGAGGAGGGAGCTTAAGGCGGTACAGCCTCTGTGCCTCATGTCGAAGACACGGGTCTGATTTTCTACATTGGCACACTGTGTGATGCCAATTCATTGTGCCCCCTCGTGATATGGCTGTAACACTACAAACAGCTTAAAATGCCAATCACTCAAAAACGCACCAAAAAGTCACCCAATGTCACCTGTAGTTAGAATTTGTCCTCAGAAACTTACATGTATGCTTGTCATAAGAAGAGACAACATGGATCAGGGTATCAGGTTCTTTGAGTCTTAATACAATAATACATTATACAAATTACTGGATCGATAATTTATTGGCAGCAAAAACATCCAGATTGGATATTGCTGGGTGCGGCGTTAAACAAAAAAACCCACACATTCTTCTGTGTGCATAAGCTGGATGCCCACTTGACTGAAAACATAACCTCGAAACAGTACATACATGTGTGTCACGACATGGCTGAAATATTGACGATGTGACGTAAAGCATAAACTCACTCACTCACTACATACATGTGAGTGTATACATGGAGCAAATGAACAATGTCCATAAAGCGTACATGGTGCGCATATGCATGTCGGTAATCATTTGACAATGTTAAATGTAATATCAATAATTTTATTATCGATCGCCTCTATTTCCTCCAGCCTCCAAAAGTGTGCTCATCGTCTCAGCCGTGTGTGGTACCGTGATAGTCGTCCTCCTTGCTGTCCTGATATTGTTGGTTATATACACGTAGGTATCACTTGTTTTAAGTACACTGCAAATAAAGTCCCACAACTTCCCCCGCAAAACACGCGGCCGCAATGCGGTGTGGCGGTGAAGAGTGTCTGTTTGTAATCAGATAATGAAATGAGACCATGAGTAACTGAGTTCAAAAGAGAACTATATTGAGTCCCTTAACCCAGGACACGCTCCACCAGAAATCTGTAATCTGAGCGCCATTTTTTGTGTGCACTCCCTGGTTTCCATCTCAAAATAACCAGGGCGTGGCTTGATTCGTCGGTTAAAATGAAGATAAATAATAACATGACCATAGTTACTTTTGCACAGACATTTACTCCAAAATGCACTCACATCTTAATCAACCCCGTCATCGTTTTCAAATAAGAAAATTCAACAGATGCAAGTATAATGTTATTTACATACTAGCATGGGTAAAACTGAACGAACAATTAGATAAATGCACTCATTCAGCTGTAACATTATTTCTTCAGCCGCATCCTTCCCTCTAGAAGAACAAACGATACTAAAAGAGACAAGCGTGACGCTACCGGAATATCAAATCGTTCCTATCGCAGTTTAAATGATGACCAGATGGGGGACAAGCCGTACATGAGATAATGAGAGTGTCAAACATGACCAGAGAGAGGACATGTCACGACGTTTCATGACCACAGTTACTTTGGTCACAGACATTTAATTCAATATCCACACACAACTAAATCGACTCCGCTATCTTTTTCAAATAATTCTGAAACAAGAGCATTCAACAGATGCAAGCATAATGCTATCCACATGTTAGCATGGGTATAACTGCACGAACAATTAGTTCACCCTTTCAGATTTAACATTATTTCTTCAGCCGCATCCTTCCCTCTAGAAGAACATACGATACCAAAAAAGACAAGCGTGACTTCAACGGAATATCAAATCGTTCCTACCACAGTTTCAATGATTAACATATGGGGGAGACGCCATACAAGAGATGAAGAGGACAGTGTCAAACAGGACCAGAGAGAGGACATTTCACGACATTTCATTCGTAGTGTGAAAAAGTTACCCATGTTTAGCAACATTAGGTCTCTGTTGTCTTCAGAACCACGCCACTGGGTGATGCAGTGATTCCCTGAGAGTTCATCAGGGTATGCGTGGAACACGATAGATAACTAAAGATAAATATATATTGTTTTATGGACCTCAGTAAGTAAAGAAGCTAATTATCTTCTTATCCGTTTGTGTTTTATGTGATGCCGATAACTAATAATCAAATATCAATTGTACAATTGAAGAAACGTCTGCATGGTCTAGAGTGACCACACAAAGGAAATGTATCTCTAATAACATATGAAACTGCACAATAAAATGTTTTATTGATATTTAAATATTTTTATGCATGGTTACGCACGGTTGACTCCATAACCCATTGTCATGAACATCTCTCTTTTATGCATGTCCTTGTTTTTCTTGAATGCATCGTAGAACAGATGGAAATGACATATTTCAGCGCAAGATTGTACATCACGCAAAACATGAATTTGACTGGATAAAATGTCATCAGAGAAAGGAGACTTATACTTCAATACAGGTCATTTGTTCAACATGTTTATAAAAAAAACTTGGTGAGTGATTGGACGCTATGATCAGTAATGTTTCATGTGAATCAATATATTCTTCTGTGCACCTGAGTAAAGTACTGCAATATATTTTGTGTTTGTACACTCACGGCTGAAGAGTTTCCTCAACCCGTCAATGTATAAAAACAAAAAAGCGACCAAACGCTTCCTTATTCATAAGAATTAACTGTATCCCACTGTATCAAAGATGTATATGATTCTATCAAAGTAGTAATGAAACCAAGTGATCGCAAAAAAGATGTAGAATACTTTCATACTTTGATAATGAGATCTGTCGCCCACTTCTACGGATTGATAGCTGACACATGATACCCAATAGCGATGATTTGTGAAATTATATCTCAAGTAGCTCAGCAACGTTGATGAATCTGACAAGCGGCACGTACTGGTTGAGGCCAATTCATTGACTGTTAAACGTCAGATAATGAATACATGATACATTCAAAATTATATTTATTATTCGTTTAAACACGTTACCTCTTTGTAAGTATTGACATTCTGCTATGCATTTTTTAAGACCAACTATTTAATATATTCCAGTGATTTCCCCTGAACATTCTTAGCAGTCAATTTCAAACGTCTGATTCAGTAGGTTTTATGGTAATTTATTCTGTATAAAAATTATAAGAAAATTAAAAGGAAGCTATTTCGAAAACAGTAAACAGAGTGTTACTGTCCCCATTTAAAAACGTTCTGCTACAAGCCATCCTCCAACATGTACATCACCAAGTCTAGGGTTTTGTACACACATAACACATGTGCTGCCTCCCATGTCCCAAAACGAGGGAATCTCCTAAAACGATGTCATATTCCCAAGTGGTCATAATCTTGTAGACAAGGGTCAGCAATATCTAAAATTAATCAATACCAGATCTTTTAAATCACATTTCTACTTGGTGTCGATTGAAGCTCGCTGAGGTGAAATGACCGCCACTCCACCCACATATTCCCTATCACATTTCTCTCTACGGGTTGATACTGCTATGGCTAGACGACAACGTCAAGCACAATCACCAGCTTATCAGTAGTTGACATTCTGTTCCATACGAGACGTTGTAGCTACCGCATGCTTGCTGACGTGAAATGATCTATTTATTACTTCCTGAACACCATTTCACCGACACTTTCCCTATCACATTTCTCTACGGGTTGATACTGCTATGGCTAGATGACAACGTCAAACACAATCATCTGCTTATCAGTTATTGACATGACCGCCATTAACCTGTGTTGGCTGTTATATAGTGCAAATATCCTAGAAGTCCTTGTCCTTGTCCTTGGACATGCATGCAATCGCAAGATGTTGTTTCATGTTGGCAGCTTTCAGTATCGGATCTGTACTTCCGGTGAGTGTTTATATCCCGCGTTAACATTCTTTTCATGCGGGGCCCTGTAGCTTCCGTACATACTCATCTTATCTACCTCTACTGGGATATTGGGCCGCTCAGTCGTCATGCCCCGCAAGTTTCTTTTGCGTGCCAGAAACCTATGATCGTGGGTTCGAATCCCGACCATCCCGACTATATTTCTAGGTTGAGCAGCACCATACCAGTGCTCTTGGATTTGACCCAAGTGATACACGTCTAAAGACCTGCATTATCTCGGGCTTTCCTCGTGAGACACCGTGATATAATTAAAATACTGTTCGAAGTCGTGTGTGTTTGTGTGTGTGGCTGCTTGTACTAGTCCGGACCGATTTCATAGTGCTAGCCCACTGAGATAACATGCCGCAGTTTAACATGGATACCCCACTCAGACAGAGTACACAGACTCCGAAGCGACCGGAAATTGAACCTACGGACAAGACTGGTCCGATCATGCCCCCGGATTTGTGGACTGTTACCTTACCCCCTGATAAGCTGCAATACTAATGACAGCTACTGAAGCTTTGTTGTAATAGGCATAAACTGATGAAACAATAAGCGAACAAAAACGTAAAAGGAAAAGATGAAGGCCAGGGTTTGGACTGGGTGTTCAAGGTCGGGAACTTGGTTGATAACGTGTCGTGGTAACACGACCGAGTGGGCGTAGCTTATAATGTTTATTACTTGTTTATCTGTCCCCAGCACGGATATTTACAGCTGCCGTTGGCCAGCAGTATAAAACATGAGTATGGACTTGTACAAACAGCCACACACATATTTGCAAACATACACAAGCGTCGCTTTTGTTAAATAATCTTGAACACGTGACGTCAAACCACATTTCACCTCACCTCAAGTGCATTTCAAACATCAACTATAGAGTTGTCTACAACAGAAGCAGCAACTACCTCGACGCATGGGTTTTGTATGACATTAAAGACATGTCAGGAAATTTTTTTCAAAAGTGTTATGGTATACACATGGAGTACATTTCCTAATTTGACTCATCTGTGAAATTCCCTATTTGGACATTTACAATATAAGCGTAATTGTCCGTGTGTTTTTTTCAGGTGAAGAGTTGACATGCTTTTGCATGTGTTTGTGATGGGTACCGCCGGTGGGGCTAGATATGCTCACTTTTTCGCGAACACCTCGTATCATCACTGTTTGATAGTGATTCATAAACATATGCTTGTGGTACTAGTCAAAATAGGGAATGGCATCGGACATCATTTTTGTCACTGATGCGTCACATTTTGAAATGTCCTCCACATGTCTACCATAAATTTTGTTGAAACCTTGACACCTCAAACAACTTCTGAGCAACAGTCTTATGACGCTCTTTGAAATCTTGGTAGAAAGGTCATGGTCGATTGTATCTCAAAAGTTGTGAAATGTAAACACCAAAGGCTGGAGCTGATGGAATATTGCTGGACATAACGAGAAAGTTCACTATTTGGAAGTTGAATTCATCCCTCTTATCTGTATGTGGGGAGTGTTTTGTCACTCTGAACCTTTATGCGTACAGTATATCTTAATATGAAACAGACGAGGCGGTCTCACTGGTCTCCTTTATTTCTAGTTCAGGTGGGTAAATCAGTGGAAGGGAATTGGCTCTTTGATTGTTATTGAACGATATCAGATCATCGATATACCTGAAGCTTAAGTTAAACTTCTTGGCCAAATTACCTTGTTTTGACTTTGCCAATCCGAATGGAAATTGGTGCTCATGGGGATGCCTACTTCTTGCCTAAATGTCTTATCCCCATTTTTTACGTAGATGTTATCAATGAGGAAGTCCAGCATTTCACATATTGTTTTCTCAGTAAACTTCAGATGGCACTTGCTTTCATTTTTCACAATTTGCCCTGAACCTCTGAATATAGATACGTAACTGTATCTATGTACACCACGTTTTGTGACAAAAGCCCCATGGAACAAAGAATGAAGGTTTTCCTTAATTTTGTCATGTGGGATAGTAGTGTAAAAATGTTGCACCAATGAACTGGAGCCATTTTGCGGGGTTCATCTCTGATTACTTTGCATTGACGAGCCAGCCTACATGGCATAACTACGCCCTGGTGAACTGCAGATGATTCTCTGAGACCCGAGGGGCAAGGATGAGCTTGAATTGCATTCATCTATGTAGGCCTCAAAGACAATGCCCCGACAGTGATGGGTTTCATGTTGTGGGTGAATAACCACAGGGCCACGGAAATGCCAAAAGGGAGCATCTGGTAGTGTCGAACCTCCAAACGATCGCTCCCATCTGTATGATCCTGTCGATCATGTCGATCCTCTCTCTCTTGATAAAGCTGTCTATCGAGAGAAAGGTGAAGATCCCGATGCTTATGGTCCAACCTCTGCAGATCCTCCTGTGAAGGTAAGGTCCTTCGAATGATGAGGGTTCGTAAATCCTGATGATCCAAGCTAGTCTAACATAAGGTTTGACAGTGGTCGAAAGGTTCGTTGTTCTTGACCATCCCAATCTGATTTCTCATCTACGTCCCTGGGACTCACAAACCGATCATCAGATCAATCCGTCATCGACCGAGTCGCTGAGGAAAGGTCTCCTCTGAGGAGATCTTGCCGCAGAAGAAGAAGTGAGGGTAGATGGCTTCTCCACACTACCGATCAAGGCGCTACGGATAATCCTTGGGCTTGGTCTCACGTCAAGAAAGAGTCCGAACCTTCTTCCAAGGAAACTGATTCATTGAAGCTACCTTTGAAGCCCCTTTCGACGAACCCGATCGTGCAGCCTTTAACATTGTTCTTTTCGCGTTCTTGGCAACAGAAGTCTGTCACTTCCCCCCTCCTTTCACATTTCTGTGATAAGATGACAAATTCCTCGTCACCCGACACTCTGCAGATATCACATCTGCAAGACCACGAACACAGCCTTCTTCAGTCACTACAACTAGCACGTGGATCAATAGTAACACACTTCCCTATCTTCCTATCCATGATAACAAAACTTTAGAAACTCAAATACTCAATAAATAAGTATTATTTTCGTCCACAAAACCCCCGTCTCTACTCTAGGGCGATATGAAAGAGAATGAGCTGAAAGAACAAGTCACATGGTCAGGCAGAACGAGGTCCATGTGTTGCAAGGGCTAGTGGTGATAGTGGTGATCATGGTTACAGCTGGGGTGTGTTTGAATGACGTACTTTGTTTAAAACTGGAAGCATCTTCAATGTTCTTTTACACTCTAGGATCAATTGAAAAGTGAGAATGCGACAGTCAAATGTGTATTTTGTTAGTTGGTTCACGTTGTATTCAGCAATATTCAAACTATATGACAGCGACCTGTAAATAATCGAATCTTGACCACAGAAACCAGTGATTGGTATGAGCAACGTCCCACGCCATCAGCGTAAGATCAACCAGGTCACCGAGCCTGGCCATCCGATTCAATTAATCGCCTCTTACGACAATCATAGCTTACTAGAGACTATTCTAACCCTTAATATTAATGTTATCCTGAAGTCAAAATAGAAACATAAAACATTTTTTCTCGAGTTTTCAAAATTGCTTTTTCAATCGAAGCATCATAATGATTCAGATATTTCCTTATAGACTACAGTCAACATTTTAACATTTCAGATACCCGAAAGCTTAATAATTGTATCCACCACATGTGGTTTCATAACACATACCCCCTTTAAAGGGGCGGTCGGGTAGCCTAGTGGTTAAAGCGTTCGCTCGTCACGCCGAAGACCCAGGTTCGATTTCCGACATGGGTACAAAATAGGTGAATCCCATTTCTGGCTTCTCCCGCAGTGTTATTGCTGGGATATTGCTAAAAGCGGCGTAAAACCAAACTCACCCTCTTATTTTTCTCCATGTGTGTTTTATAATGAGAATGAAACATATTTCGTAGTCCTATGTAAATCCGAAGTTCGTGAATGAGTTCATTAAGACCCTTATGAAGGCGAGGAATTAATGTGCTTCCTTCATTCGGCTCATATATTTCCTATTTCATCATATAGCGTTACTCATAGCCCAGCTATTACTCATTGAGGCGAGGATATTGTGCAAATTAACAAACCAAAGTTTTTTCAGATACTAGTACATGATTTTTAAGGAAACTGTGTTCATGAAAGGAGATACTCAGTTCCGAATATATAATTTTACCTTTAATATTTATAAGTATTTCTATTACCCTGATCAACCGTTCTATCAGACGGAAACGTATTGTAATTTAAACGAATTATTTATTACTCCAAAATGTTGATATTGCTTTAACAAAAAATACAAATAACAAAAACATAATCATTTTACAACTTTAAGCAAGATCAAGAGATGTTTCATCCGAAGAGCGACTGTATTAGGATCGTGAGCTGGACTTGTCATAAAGTGCTCAGAACAAAGAAGAACGATTATCTAGCCTGTTTGTAGAAGAAACTGTCACAATAAAGTTATCATGGAACGATACTGCATTTGTCCTTATTTGAAGTAAGTTGACTGACAGTGCGGAGCCATTACTCCACACCGTCCAACCCAACCCCACAAACAAACCACTTAATACTCGTATTCGATGACCAAATGTATTCTATTTCCGTTTTATTAAGATTTATGATGTGGAAATTCGTTATCATAGTTTCGTTTACGAAGTGAGGTCACAATCGTAAATCTCTCTTATCAGAACTCTCTCAGTCTCTCTAGCTCTCGCTCGTGTATTTAAATGGAGGCATAACAAGTTACTTTGGTGGCGAAAGAGTCCAGGGCATTTCTCATAATAGAATGGAGATATATATAACACTGTATTAGCTTTGGTGATGTCTCTTCATGTCCACTTGATTCTTCATGGATACGAATCGGAATTTCTGATTCCTGGCTCGTTCTGATAAATGTTTAGCTGAAAAAGTAAATTCACATTCTACTACATTTACGCCCCAGACGCATTTTCGGTTTACGATCACCAAAGTGGTGGATTATATTTCTATAATTTCACCAAATTTGACTTAAGGAAACAGCTCAGTCTAACTCATCTGCAATATACCTCGAAGTGTGAATATACATTCAGGATATGTTCATGATTATTGGCCCAGGATTTGGAATTGGTGTCGATATTTCAACATGTACTGTGGGACAAAGCACGTCGAAAACGTACATTGTAAATATAAATAAAAGCGGCAAAAAACTTCCTGTAATCCGAAGACTAATCATAAGAGTCAATTGTACGATCCCGACAATATCATGAGCAAGTTTGTGTGTGTGTGTGTGTGTGTGTGTGTGTGTGTGTGTGTGTGTGTGTGTGTGTGTGTGTGTGTGTGTGTGTGTGTGTGTTTGATTGTACTAGTTGGGACTGATGCAGATTTATCGTGCTTGCCAACTGAGATACCATGCCGCAGTCTAACATGAATACCCCACTCAGACACAGTGTACTGACTCCGGGCCGATCAGTTCTTGTTTTAGCCATTTAATGCCGAGCGCCAGACAGGGTAACAACAAGTACCATCTTTTAACGTCTTTTGGTATGGCACGGACGGGGATTGAACTTTGGACCTTCCGCTCTCCGGGCAAACACTCTATCACTAGACAACGGAGGCGGCCAGGAGTGATGATATCAGGTGTCCATCAAAAGGTGAGCGTCAAAAGTTTTACTGAGAACTTGAATGTTGTAACCCTGATCAAATAACTTTTGAGTCCGGTTTAGACAGGTTTTATGATATATATTGCCTTTCAACTTAGAATAATAATGCATAAAAAACTACACGTTTGCAGGATATAACATGCTACCTTTTAAACTTAGCACGTGCATTCCTAAAACAAAAGGGTTAAATAAATGGGTTTGAAACATGGGTGAAGCATAAATTAGGTACATTAGAACGTTTTTAAGTATATTTAAAAAGACTGATAATTTATTAATTGATTAATTTTATATTCACTGTCAGCAAAGGTATATCTTTAACTAATGGAACATGAAGTATTTTAGTTGGTTATTCTTTCCTTTTCAGGAAAATTAAAATTAATCTATACCTTTTACGGTAACCTATAAGATTAATATATATTTACAATCCCTGCACATGCAACACACCTTGTGTCACTGATATCGACGGCAGTGCAGCAACACTATGACGTGTTCCTGACATGGCCTACATTACGCTGTATTACGCAACATGCACCAGTCCTGTACGCCAATCACAGTGAAACTCAAGGTGCAATATGTCGTGATATTCTCCATTATGCCTTGATGACACAAGGGAGAGAGACGTAGTGATACTCCGATTATCCAGTGTCAATGGACATGCATTCGAGATTGGGCTTCATGTTGGCAGTGTTTATGTTTGAATCTGTACCTCTGGTGAGTATTAAGATACGTCATGTTTCTATGAACCCCCTAGCTACCGTATACACTCGTATTTCAGTACCTGCATTACCACCTATCTGCATGTACCTACCAAACGCTTTTTTGTCTGTATTTCCTTCTCTATGTTTTGACATCCCTTGCAAGATACACAGGACAGCTAAGAATAAATCATCTCAGTGATCGAACTATGTAAATATATATATCAAAACCCTTTCCATATTAATAAGAAATCTCTGCTAAAAGCAGGGTCGATTGTACCATTGTATTATAAGCAAGTGTTTATGAATCACTATGCAATAGTGTTGAGACCAGGCCCCGGGATCATGAAAGTGGTCTTAGCTAAAATTTTGCTAAGCACGAATTTTGTCTTAAGTTTTTAAGATTTTGCTTTCCTAAGATTCGGTCTAAGACTGGATTTTGAAACGATGCCGAGATTTTTTTCTGACTTACATTTGCCTAGGATTGGAAGTGCGCTCATGCGGCACTGGATCTACCTCCGGCTATAAAATTACGCAGAGATGTAGAATATTAAATTTCCCATCTGATGGTTTAATTCTGACTGTAAATATTAAACAAGTTTGAAAAAAAGACACTGCTAAGTTTTGTCCGAGAATTTATTCTGCGTTGAAAAACGATAGCGAACACCGATAAAAGTACTGAGCGACGATTTTTTTATTTAGCAGCTTTACCGAAACTGTGAGCGAACAAAATACCGCTTAATATTTGAAAGATATAACTACATATCAAATGGAGTTATATGCGTGTGTATAACGACATAAATTCAATGCATAAAATAGCCTGCCGTAAATGACAAAAACTGATTTACCTCAATGACGTCAAAAGGCGACAGAGAGGTTACACGCGTTCAAAGAAAAGGGGGCATAACTCCGCTATGTTAAGCACTAGTTTATTGTAACTAAGGTCGCTTGGTGAGAATTAGCTGTGGGTAAGGACAATACATTTTCGTGGTGTTTTGTTCACGAGGAACCAAACTATTCCAACACAAATATCGATATTGAAACTGTGTACGATTAGGCATAGAAAACCCATTAGAAATGACGAAATTGTACTTCATAAAAGATAATTAAAAGCGAAATGGATGGCCCTTTCTAACCCATAAATTAGTCCTTAGATTCCAATATTCTCCTGATTGTGCAAGTGTAATTTGACTAATGTTGCACCATAATTAATGGAGCACTAATGTAAAGTAATCAAATGTAATGAATTACTTAAAAATGACACCATTCTATTTGACGTCATGGCTGCTTTTATGCATATGACAATGTCGGAGAAAGACGACACTGGTATTTTGATTAACACATATCTCCCCTAATTGTCGATTATGGTATGGAAAAAGAGTGTAAAGCGGAATTTGACGCTTTTTCGACACAACATAGTTATAAAATAAAATGAAACGGCTATTCATGGACACTATTTATATGAACTTTGACTATTGACTATTACACACCCTAGAAATACATACATGTTGCAGTTACATTTACATTTCATCTTGTAACACCTGTCTCACCTGCACCGTCACAAACAAATACAAAGGCATGTCAACTGTTTACCTGAAATACTTTGGAACGCATTGTACAAGTCATCATAGGCAATTGCATCGGACGTAATGTTTGTTACTGATGCGAACGCCTGGTGTCATCACAGATTGTCAGTAATCCATTCATATCATTTTAACCGCAATTTGCCTTTCACGCCCAACGAAATCAGTTTCGGCAGATATTCTAGGCTGATTATTCTATGACGTAAAATTGTACGTTCATCATGTAGTTTGAATCATGCAACAATGTGGTAGTACTTCATAAACATAACTGTTTTATTCAGTGTTGACTTAGATGCCACGTAGTAAAGAGTATAGGTATCTGGCTTTGCATTTCTTTCACGTGTGCTTGTAGATTACATGTAATATAATATAAACCCGAAAATGTAATACAAATGAAAATTGGTTTCCAGGTGCTTGGAAGTGATACAGTCCCAGGCAAAGTCAGCAACTTGAAAACGACAGGAGTGACATCCTCGGCCTTTGGTCTTTCATGGACAGCACCTACAAGTAGCATCCCCTTCACAAGCTACGTGATCTTTATAATCAAGGAGGGCAAATGTGCACAAGCCAGCTTCCTCAGATGCTCTCAAAATAGTACAACTCATGCAAATGTAAGTTGATTCACACAATCTATAAAATGGTAATTTACTCTTTAGGGCATATTACACTTCATTGAAAACGCTTTTAAAGTCTTCTCTTTACTGATCTGCAAATCCCTTAAAAGTTCAAATGCACTTATTGAAAAGGTCCGACGGGATATACAGTTTCCTTTTATGAATGTGTTGAAACTCTGTACACGACAATTCATTCCCGTATAACGGGTCGGTGGATCAGCACCGACACATAACGTTTGGGATAAAGGTTCAACTCCTCATTTTGGTACTACATGTAAATCTTATTCTTGATAACAGCGTAATGATACGACTGGAATTTGCATAAGACTGTATTCACCCATTTCATTATTTCTACACATTTACCATCGTGCGTCCACGGCTCTTCATCTTGCCATTGGTGTGACATATGAATAGTTGACCTTTGCTGTGCCATCTCTAGGCTAACTGCCCCTACCAGATATTCGCGGGTGTATATGATACCTGTCACGGTGTCATGTCTTACAACATCACGGCGAAGCTGACGTCGTACACAGACTACGTTGTCGCTGTAGCGGCTGCTTACGAGACCACCGCAGGGGAAAACTCCACAATCACAGTGAAGACACAAATTGGAAGTACGTATGGCTATTTACATCATACAAAACATAGACAATCTGGACAGATTGGTATTTATATTATAAAGGTTAAAGAGCAGGTTCAACATTCTACGGAAGAAACATCCGAAAGGTTATTTACATATGTGGTCTAAGTATTATTGTTATAATAAATACGATATTGTGATACGCCCGTTTTATATCTTTGTAAAGTGGGTATTTGACAATAGCGTTTGAAAGAAACGTGAATTAAATGCGGACAAGGTACATGTACGTTGATTGCAATTAACATTTTAATACCATGAAAACACATTTACATATGAAATTGACATGTTTAATAAATATCCACCTTTTTACTGAATACACTTCCCATCAACAAACAGATGCAGTGTTTACGGTTAGGAGACTATGTGGTCAAATAATGACAATATACACAGATGCCTATATTAGACGTTTGTAACAGAATGTTTAGTTTCACTACCGCTGTACGAATCAGATCAGAGCAAGTGAGATAATTAATACATTTTAACAGCAGGAACGAAAAGCGTTGGCTTCTAGTGAGGTCCTTGTCAATCACATTTCAGTTGATTACTATGCCTGATTAAGAATGAACTTCAATATATTTTGAGCTCAATGTAATCACCGGTGTGCACACTCTGTAGATCTGTAGTCGGTTCTTATAATAAATAAGTCAATAAAACTGTTTATTTAATCATTAAGACAAAAATTCTGTACATAACGATACGAAATCAGTAATATATGCAATACAAAATTCCCTATCCCCCACACTGTATAACCGATCAGGAACCAGCATTCCACTAGTCGGCGTGATCTCTTGTTGCTATATTTATGATGATATGTATATTAAAAGGGTCATGCATGATAAGCCCATCAAATGTTATGGCGTCACTTGCAATTCAATCATTATCCAGAGCATGGTCTCACATTATGTTTTAACATTCAGTTCCAGCACCACCGACCAACATCCGCCTAACTGCTCAGAACCAGTCAGCCATCCTGGTTGAATGGGACATTCCTTTGCACAATGCCGGGCCTACGTGGTACAATGTTACGGTTCTTGGTGCAACAAACAGGATGTCTAGCATCTTCATTGCCCAACGTGAATACAAAGTTGAAGGTTAGAGCCAGTTGTGGAATTTGTATAATTAACAGCACACATGCTTTTGAACACACTATTTAAAATTGAAATTGAGAGCGGACACCATTTGACCAATTGGGAATACCTGGATGTATGTATTTATAGCTGCACCCGGATTTTGAACACGGGATTCAACAGAAGGAAACTATACTTCTTCGGTCCAGCATAAAATAAATCACAGAATTGATGTTTTTGTTACATACTCTTCTGAGTTCCAAACATCATAACACATAACATATCATAGTTTATTCCCTTCAAATACGAGTATATATTATAATTGTATTACAAAGTCAGGTTAAAGATTGAGACATTCAAACCTGTCTATGAGACGTCTTGAAAACCATTGCATCAAGATTCAAGATTCGACTGTAGTGTAAAGATGTCTTCGCATGTGCCCTATGTTGCAAATATTACATGTCCCCGGAGCATAAAGCCTCTGTAGCCACATTGTTGAACAGATGTGTCTTCGTGTATATCCTATGTGTCTTCGTGTATATCCTATGTTGTGTGATGCAGGTTGGAAGAGCAGTTCCTACGAGGTGACGGACTTGCTGAGCAGTTGGAGGTACATGGTCAGCATCACGGCCAGCACCAACGTGGGAACCTCAGACAGAACAACATCCCAATATGTCAGTACGCTACCAAGCGGTTAGTGTCGTAAAGTAGAGAATCTCGTAGTAAAATATATAATCTACCCGTGTTGGATGGCTTCTGAAATGCGAAATGGCAGTGATCTGTACCGCTTCCTTCCTTCCAATATAATATCCTGTCAGTTGCTGCCTATAGCTGTCCATAGTTGGAGACACATATTAATTATTAAACATTTGTACATATCGATGATAATGACGTTGACGTTGACTTGTTAGTGTTTTACATCTGTAGCTCCTGGCGTCGTGAAGAACATCCACATGAAGTTTGTCCCAAATCAATACCTGGCAGCCAGACTCAGCTGGGAATGTCCCACCGAGAAGATTAGGAATGGGCGCATCACTAGCTTCACCATCATCTACACAGGCAATGTAAGATATTTAATCACTTGGTTCCTTTTGTTAAAGGATCTTGTAATTTGGTAAGCTTGTCTATAGTTATGAATTGGAATTTTCTGACCCCCAAAGTAGATCTAGTACAAAGTATTAATAAAGTGAGACATAATAAATTATTGTTTCTGTATTAACTATAACCCTCGCCAGGTGGCTGAACAATATTGCTGAAACGACATACCATATTACCTCCTCTTTCGAAACATGCATACATGCATAAACTTATACACACCAATTTGAATGCTTGCATGGGTTGTGATCTATCATGTGGTCTTATATGAGACCAATGACATGGAAAATGCAAAGTAATGAATATATAAGTTGGGTCAAACGCTTCTGTTAACAGTATTCCAGTTATATCACGGCAAGTTAGCTTAATGTGGGATGAAAGCCCGAAGAGATGTAGGTCTGAGACGTCAACCACTTTTGTGAAACCCACGAGCACGGGTATGGCACTGACAACACTTAGAAATATAATCCCGGCGACACGGAATTCGAACACACAATCATAGATTTGTGGCTAGCCAAAGGGACGCAACACTTCACAGCGAATTACCTCACCTTAAACGACTGGACCACCTGTGCCCCCAGTGATTATATAACGTAAGGTTTGCTAAATATGAACGTTGTACTGGAATTGCTTTCGCGGGGCAGTGGGACTACTACGTCTAACTATAAGATTACGCCGAATGTAGATTGAATATTAATGGGGAACTCCTTACACGACAGAACAACACCATCAAAGCTTCATGAACCAGAAGCTAATGTCTCTTTCTGATGAAAATAGATGCTATCATAAGATTACATGACCCTCAATAGCACTGTATATAAATCATAACAGGTTATTTATTGTATCGTTGTATCGAAATGTGATCGAGTCTATCTTCTCGGAAGGTTGGAAGAGCAGTTCCTACGAGGTGACGGATTTGCTGAGCAGTTGGAGGTACATATACATGTGATCGAGTCTATCTTCTCGAGGCAAGGGCGTTAACTTCCACTCTTGCCGAGCTAGGCTGTTATTTCGGAGTTACATTTTGACTAGACTAATTAAAGAATCTATGGATAGTTCAATCAAAATCGCGTGACGAACGAGACACCCGGTTCGCAAACAACATGGATTTCAACGTGCAGATTTCAGTCGACTGCAGGATTTGCAAAACATGTTTACCGCCAAATGGGTCAACAGATATTTTGCAAATCTTTTCATGTTTTAATGAATGTGATGAAAGGTGGTTTGACGCTCTTTGCGAGGTTAGACCGGTTTTGTTACAATGTAGATCTTGGTTATCGATCAGATCCTTGACTGGCCGCCGTCATTTTGTTTGAAGCAAATGCAAGTGATATGAGAGGTGGAATCTGATTGAATCTGAGAGATGGACACAGAAGGAACATATCTCGCCATAGCTACGCGTGGCGCTACGAGCGAGCCTTGAAATTACAGCCCAATTTTGCCAAACTTGGTTGGAAACTGGACTTATAGTCACTTTGCGCCCTTGCCTCCGGAAGATGTATCGAGTCCTTCCTCGGAGTATGTTCATTCAGACGCTAATCATATTCACCCATAACTGGTCATATGATCTTCATTGCACAGTATTATTAGAAAAAAGTTACAGGGTTTATGCGCTTTGTAAACACATGAACAAAAATATAGTTGAAGTATGAACAGATCTCTTCATACAACAGGTGTCCATGACGATGACGGCAGGGAGCTACTACCCCGAAGACCCTTGCACCGCCCCCCACACAGCGTATCTCCCTGTCATCCCAGATGGGCAGTACACAGTCAAGGCATGTATAACACGACAATTAAAATATTGACGCACGCAATAATTATGACAATAAACGATGACATTCTATTCATGAAACGGGAGATCACATTCTGTCCTACTTGAAAAAGAAAATGATCCATTACTCGTTAAGAATATATCTTTACGATTTGTTTGTCACTGCTGTGTCAGAACCAGTGGGTTGGCCAACCTGTACGAATATCATGACTTCATGTTTGATGGATGTGACATTTCATGCTTGTCATGTCGTGCCTGTTCGCACGTTGAGTTGCCGAAAGGTTTGATCTAATATGGTCACAGAAATACAGTAAACTACGGTTATAGCGAACTCAAAGGGATCACAAATTTTAGTTCGTTATAACCGTAGTTCGTTATAAGCATATAAACAGCATATAGACAGCATATGACAGGGACCTTCAAAACCAGTTCGTTATATCCGCCAGCTCGTTATAAGCGTGTTCGTTATAAACTTAGTTGACTGTATATGTCTTTGCAAATATGTCTCTTTAACTTGAACTGATAATTATTCCCAAATGGCTTCGTAAACTCCCGTATACTCCGTTAGTAAATGGATATAGAATGAATATCAAAATTTCCTGGTATCGAAATGATTTTGGTATGTGTACAAACTGTGAAGAGGACAGGAAAAGTGACTAACCTTTCAAGAGATTATTAAACAAAGTGATAGAAAGATATGCACGGCATCTAGAACTAAATTCAAGAAAATAACATGTTGCTTTCTTTCTATTATAAACGAGAGACATCCGAGAACTTAGAATTTATTTTAACATGTTATAAAATCTGCACGGCTCAAATAACTTTTGATCATATCATTATTACAAATAGTATGCCAAAGTCTCATTAAATGTTAAGGTCAATTTGAGGTTGAGGACATCGGAAATAATATGGGATGCCTCATGTTTAAAAAGAGAAACAAAGTTCCATTTCAAAAGGCATCCAAGGGATATTAATGTAATACATAATTAGTAAAATATATATTTTACCAAAAGAGACTATCTATATTTCAATAGAAAACAATAACTAATGCTTCAGAAAAACGAAAACATATATACTTGACTGAAAGCACTTTAACTGTTAATGCAAAAATATAACATAAATTCTTGTCCTGATGTATTCAGTTCTTTTTGCAAATTCTTGTTTGTGTAGGTATGGGCCAATGCTGAATTTCAAGGAAACAAATCAACAATGATTTTTGTAGCAGACCGTAATAGTAAGTGTACCTCGTTATAACCTACCATTGTGGTAACACTAAACAGGTTGTAATATACTGTGTAGGTTTTTGCTTGTTTTTCAATCCATGTTTGTTTAATGTAATCATCAAATTATGGTTACAATTGAATGACTTCCTTTATTACAATTTATAGCTAACACGTGAATTATTTTATATTCAAAAGTGACAATGCTTATACTATTGAAGGAACATTAGTGTAACAGAAGTTCAGAGTGATGATTTCAACATTATATTCCAGAAATGTCCTACACGCCATCGATTTCCAACACAACTGTATCGACAGCAGGTAAATTGTAGTGAAGTATTAAATATACTAATGTCATTACCTGATTGCGATCGTCATTTGTATGTTTTGTTTGTTATTTAACGCTGCATTCAGCAATATTAAAACCATACGACAGCGACCTGTAAATAATCGAATCATGACCACAAAAATCAACCAAGTCACCGAGCCTGGCCATCCGATTCAATTAATCGCCTCTTACAACAATCACAGGTTACTGACACTATTCTATCCCTCAACTGTAAATTTTAACATGAACTAAAATTGAACCTTGAATCATTTTTTCTCGAGATTTAAAAGTTGCTGTTTCCAACGAAGCTTTATGAAGAATTCAGATATGTCCATACTGGTAACAGTTTAAACATCTTTTTCTTCATTTCAGATTCCAACAGCTTAATAGTTGCATCCGCCACATGTGGTTCCACAATCGCCATCCTATCTGTCGTTGTCATTGCTCTTGTTCTGAGTGAGTAGTTTTGCCATGTCTCTAATGAATACTGTAGCAATATACTTTGTATTTTGTATGCTCTTTGTATGCATGTCGTTTACCCTTCGTTGAATTTTCTATTGAAGTAAAGACCTGGTCGTACGTGACCTTCTCACCTCGTTCTACGTGAAATATGTAATTTAGGTATACGTGATAAATTGATTATGACCTGTGTAAATTTAATTTGCTCCTCAGAGTTCAACGTATCCTTTAGTATATTTGACACGGGTTGTGTTGACACGCCAGGCGTCTGAAATGTGGACGGTGTGGGTTTAAGTGTGGGTCTGGGTGTCATATATGGGTGGGGTATGTGGGTGCGACATGTACACACAGTGACTACTTTACTTCTTTGGATCATTAGACTGATTTCATTAAATTCAGGACGACACTTAATACAATTTCTCCATTTGTTTCTTAAAATGAGCAAAGAACATATTTAGTAGTTCTATAAAACTCCAAAGTATGGCTTAGCGTCCTAGTGAATGAATTCTTTAAGACCCTTGTAAATGGTAGGAATTGTTGTATTGCCTTAATTCAGCAAATATATTTGTTAGTATTTATTGTTAGTTATTATCAAGTTATTACCCATAGAGGCAGGGTATTGTGTTAGATAACAAATCATCAGTTTACAGTCACTAGTACATGGTTATACTGTACACTGTGCATCAATGAAGGAGACACTCGGTTACATGAGTGAGTGAGTATGGCTTTACGCCGCTTTTAGCAATATTCCAGCAATATCACGGTGTGGGACACCAGAAATGGGCTTCACACATTATACCCATGTCGGGAATCGAACCCGGGTCTTCGGCGTGACGAGCGATCCGACCGCCCTTCACTCGGTTACGAATGTAGAATCAACACTTTAATATTTAAATTTAACATAACCAAAGAATTCAGACGGAAACGTATTGTAATTTGAACTAATTATTTATCATTACAACATGTTGATATTTCATTGAAGAAAACCCAATAACAACAAAATAATCATTTTACCACTTTCAGCAAGACCAAGAGGTGTTTTACCAGAAAAGCAACTGTATGGATCATTAGGCTGACTGATCATCAACAGGACATTTCTTAGAACAAACAAGAACGAAACAGTGTCATAATAAAGTTATCCTGGAACGATTCTGCATTTGTCCTTATTTCAGATTGAGTTGATTGAACTTCTCAAAATAACATCATATTATTGTGGACACCAATGACCAATGCCTTCGTTCTACTGATATATTGGTGATATACCCCCATCCCTACTGAAAGAAATGACCCACTATTTTGTAGGGTTGCGACGGGTACTCGAGTACCCGATAACGGGTCGGGTAGCTTAGGACTCGAGTCCAATTTTCAGGACTCGAGTACCCGTTCAGGGGAGATAGTTATGCAATCATCATGAATTAAGTCCGTTCTCAGTAGTCTAGATCTTATACTTACCAGATCTGATTTAGTACTTTCCATGAGACAGGCGTACAATGAGAAAGTCCATGTTGTGGTGATAAGAAATCACAAATGACATTCCACAAGTGTTAGTTAAAATTCGTTTGATAACTTTTCATGATCACTGATTTTTTTATTTTTGTTCGGTTAAATAACAAATTAGGTTGTTCAAAGTTGCAAGTTTGTCTTTATGCTTCAGCACGATAAAAACAGAAAAGTTGTTCTGTTGGACTATTTCAACATAAAACTAAACAGTTTTCAATAATTTGCTGATCTGTTCAATAAAAATCTGAAATCTAATGTTACTTGTGTTTGTCATTATTGTCGAAATCATTTTACGAAATACTGAAATAGTGTAATGTTACAAATTACAATACAAGCCTAGATCACTCAGACACATATCGATTTATTACTCATGTCACGACTCACGTGTCAGGCAGTCATGTGATCTTGCCGTTTCCCGCTCTCGCCTGTTTTGGTGACAGTGCTCAATGACTGGCGCCAGATTACTTTGATATTCTGCGTCACTTGTGGTTTTAGGTAAGCTATGCAGGCATTTAATAAAAAACATAATTCCTTAGAACAGATTAATAGATGTTTGATGACCTTTTATTCGCAAAAGCATTACAAACAAGTGGGACAACATTGAACTACGGGTACTCGAGTCCGGTTCGGGTATTGTCTGCCGGGTACTCGAGTTCAGTTTTCGTACCCGGTCGCAACCCTACTATTTTGTGTAATGCTGAATCTGTCACAGGTGAATTTTTGGATAGACTTGATTGTAATTACGGTATTGTATGAGTGAGGCTGTGTTTTACAAAGACATAAGACTTGTCATGATCATGAGTGAAATGCTTGAATTCCCGATTGTCAACATCTTTATGAAATGTGAGGCCCTCCGACAATAAACAGGGAGTCCCTATGTGTACAAATCCCTTCATCCCTGATTACTAAAAGTAACTACTTCATACTCGATTACCCAATATATTTCCATTGTATTAGGATATATGCCGTTGACATTCGCTATCATAGTTCCGTTATGAAGTGACAATCGCTAATCTCTCTTATCAAAATGTTTCTTGCTCGTATATTAAATTTGAGGCATTTCGAATTAGACATAAAGTGTAGCTATGGTGGCGAATGCGTTCAGGGTATTTATCATAATAGAATGAAGATATAACACGCTGGATTAGCTGGGATGTGAGTGAATGAGTGATTGAGAGGCTGAGTGAGTTGTGTTTAACGCCGCTTTTAACAGTATTCCAGTTATATCACGGTGTGTTAGATTAATGTGGGGGGAAAGCCTGAAGTGATGCAGGTCTTATAATTAGACGTTTACCACTTCTGTGAAACACACAAGCGCGGGTATGGTGCTGACAAACCTAGAAACATAATCGGGGCGAACTGGGATTCGAACCCACAATAATAGGTTTCTGGCGAATCCAAGGGACGCTACTGTGCAGGGCGAATTGCGGTGACTTAGACAACTGGGCTAACCGTACACCCCTAGTAACCCTGATGAAACAAATTTTGAGCCAGGTTTAGACCGGTTTCAGGGAATGTATTTTAAAATAATCATGCATTCAAAGACTACACATTTGCAGGGATAATATCCCACCTTATTACTTATTATATACACTCCTAAAACAAAAGGTTTAAATTGGTATAAATTATGAGTGAAGCATAAATTAGGTTCATTTAAACGTTCTTATATATATTTAACAAAGACAAATGATAATTGATAATTAATTTTCTGTTCACTATTAGCAAAGGTTGATAAGAAAAGGAGAAGAGTAGATATTAACTTTGTAGCGCAACCTTTCCTTATTTACCATCCCAGCGTAGCAACGCTATCACGAGCTGTTGGTATCACGGTGAAACTCAAGGTCCATTACGCCTTAATGTCACATAGAAAGCACCTGGTGATACTCCGATTATCCATTGACTTTGGACATGTATTCGAGATTGGGTTTCATGTTGGCAGTTTTTATTTTTGAATCTGTACCTCTGTTGAGTATTTGGATACGTCATGTTTCTATGAACGCCCTAGCTACCGTATACACTCGTATTTCTGTACCTGTATTACCACCTGTCAGCATGTACCTACAAATACGCCTGTTTGTCTGTATTTCCTTCAATATATCTAGACATCCCCTGCAAGATACTGAGGAACGCTAAGAATAAATCATTTCAATACAGTTATCTGAATTCGACAACTCAGTAAACGTATGTAAATAATATTTGCAAAACTCTTTCCGTATTCGTATTCGTCAGTCGATTGTCTGATTCCAACTGTATCATGAGCAAGTGTTTATGAAAAGTGATGATACAAGGTATTCGGGAACAAGGTGAGCGTATCCTGCCTCATCGGTGGCTTCCACCACAAACACATGCAAAGGCAAGTCATTGTTCACCTAAATAAACACGGCAACATATTGTACATGTTCACTGCGTCAAATTTGGGGATTTTTTTCAAAGCTTTATTGAGGCTTTGCAAGTTGTAACCTTAATTAAACGACTCAGTTCAATCAAACCTCCAGGCATCCATATTAGAACCACTTCCTGCACGTGACTAATACATGACATGACACAAAATAGAGGAAGTCGCTTTTCGCAATTCCGTTTCATTTGCAATATTGTCTTCAAATCAAAGAGTAAACATTAATTCTGTTAAGCTCAAAAGAACCTGTCTTCCAAAACGGCAAACATGTTATACGAACTATATATTTGCGGCGGGATCTGGATTTACACGACTTAACCTGACTTCATGCAAGATATCACGACTCCTATGTTACCTAAGGTAGGTAGCGGAATAAACCGAATGACGCCGAGTGACCCCGAGTGACCCCGAGTGAGTGCTCTTACACTTCTTTACGTTTTATAGTACTTTACGTTCAGTTGAGGTGCGAATAATGCCGTAGTGTGTCCAGGTAATTGCTCTCGAAGAGGAATGTTCACAAAACAATTTTCCCATTAATGAACAATAGAAAGGTCATTTGGCAGGAACTTTTAAAACGCTTGACAAAGTAAGTAGGAAAGAGCCAGCTTCTGGCTATTGGTATGAAACCATATGAACCATGAATTTACAAATAGCTGTAATTGTTGTGATGTGTTAAGTCATATTCATTCATTCACTTGAGGCTCGGTTCAAGGCAAACTATGTTGTTATTGATCATACGTGGGTTTTTTCTGTTGTGGGTGGGGGTACAACTGGAAGGGCAGGACATGCGTATCCTTTTCTCGAACACCTGGTGATTACAAGTCAGTCATCCATTCATTATCATTTTCACCGAAATTTTGCCTTTCAAACCCTAATGGAATCTGTTTCGGGAGATAATCGAGAATGATTACTCTGTGGCATTGAAATAATATATTTTACCCCTCATCATGTCAGTTTGAATCATGCATCAATAAACAAAGTGGAAGTAGTTAATTCAAAAGAATGTGAAGACTAACCAACACTGCAGCCTTCTGCATTCCCCAGATAGTCAGAAGGGCTGTATACCTGGCGACAAACCCGGGTACTCTCCCAATGTCAGTCAACAGGTACCAAACCTGAGGCACCGAGAACAATGAGGGGTCACACTCCACCGCAGGCTTCAATGGAAATGGATTCCTAAGTTGCACGGGGAACGCCTACTTATTCCTTATGCGAATCTATTGATCTTTCAATACGTGCGCCATTTGTCAGTATTGCTAAACCACCCGTGTAGATCCGATTAGAAAATGTGTTCAGCAACCCAGGCTTGCCGTACTAGGCGACCGTGCTTGTCGTAAGAAGCGACTAATGGGATCGGTTGGTCAGGCTCGCTGACTAGTTGAAGCATGTTATCGCATCCCAATTGCGTGGATTGATGTTCATTATGTGAATCACTGGATTGTCTGGTCCTGACTCGATTGATTACAGACCGCCGTCACATAGCTGGAATATTCGTGAGTGCTGCGTTAAACAACAAACCAACAAACAGTTCTGCTGAACAAAACCTATTTTTCATAATCCGTGCAGTCCATAACAATAGCAGGGGAGGAAGGGTTGTTCAATGGACCAGCGACAAACTTCAGTGCTTGTGTTAGTCAACGTGGCGCACGCATTGACGCATACGCATAGAACATGATCATGAATTTAGTGTGAACAGTTTATTTTTTAACTCTACCATTAAGTAATCTGACCCAGTGTGATTTCATGATTTTACTGTATTTCAAGTGACGACGGTGAACTTATTTTCAAATCTAGTCCACACTCGGAATTACGGATTAGCTGTCGCTTGAGGTCAAGGGGCATATCACTCGGGACAGACAATCTACAATGCCTGTTTAGTCGTTACTTATTCCTAAATATATTTCGCTTTTGAGGTATTCGGGAAAATATGAACCCAAATGATTTTGAATTATGATGATTGTCACCAAATTTGATGTTGACGTAATATTTATGCAAGGTGTTGTGCAGAATTCCTACCGTTTGAACAATCTTCAGCTTAAGAAACGTGTGCGCGTATCAAAGAACAAACATATATCTGTGTTGTAATTTGAGGGTTCAGATTTATGTGTGTTGATAATGTTTTAACAATCAACACCATGCTTCCACTTTCAGGTGTCAAGGTGGAGCTGCTTGGAACGAAAGAAGAATGCAAATCCAGTTCCAATGTAAAACAAGTACTATCAAAGCCGTGTTTAACACATCCATGAGTCATAATGATGAGTCTGCATATAAATATCAAAATATCAGAAGTCGATAATATTCTGACATAAAGGCTCATTGACAAACCATCGATTGACAGTATGAGCAACGAGTCGCGCACGGTACGAATAAAATTGGACCTCTGTTTAACCACCCGATCCTCATATGTAGGCCTGTATGACAAATATTTGGTAATACTACCTTGTCAAGACATCCCAATGAAATTCTACAGTGAAGACTTTTGTCAGTTAATGGTGATCAATATTAAGGGTAACCAGTGATGTATATGTACATTTTTGTCTTCAATGTGAAATATATAACAAAGCATATCACATTTCATATTTCATCCACATGTTTCGTAGTTATCTTGATATGATATGAACCTGACTCTCGCCATTAACGTTATCGTAAGTGGGCAGCTTTATCATTGACAACCTAACATCATTGAAAGATAAATATATAACTATGAAGTGACATTCGGTTGGGATGTATGCTATCAGGAAGGTCATTTTGCTCTTTTTGTAGTCAGCAGAAACTGTTCACATATTTCAATATGCCTTCATAATTTCTGACTGGTTTTCTTTCTTCTGTAATTATACCGACCCACTTTGAAAACGCACCAACATGAATATATGGAAATATCATATCGGAGTCCAGCAGTGAGACGAACCAACAGGTTATTTCATCTCCGGATATCCCGCTGCTGGAGGTTCATGTTTGCATTGATATTGCTGATATTTCGCGATGTAACCTTGCGCTATCCTGTTGAGAAGGAGGTGAATATAACCTGAGATGCTTTAAGTATAGGGAAAAGAAGGTCACATTGTGTTGAGTTAAGCTATTTTACAAAGGGCAAATACCAAGCATCATTGGTTGACAAAGAATACAAAGGAATGTGTATATATAGTTTAGTATGTAGTGATTGGTTTGTTTGACCATGACTCCACCAGATAGTTCAGTCTCGTTCATCTCACATAATGGACACGTAAACATGGACACCAATCGGTCTGCTCTACATGTCGGAAACTTCGACTACTGGACCACCCTGCGCTCCTTTGCTTATGTGGACAGAAGAGTCACATAGCGGTTATATATCACACTGCTTTAAGCCATTTCTGAACACGAACTACATGTACTACCCGTTTGTTACCGAAGTACTGACGGGCTTATAGACTAAAGGTTAAAGGTGACGCCAATTACGTTATGGTCATTAAGCTATCTTTAATTTTGATAGGATTGTACTTTAAAGTGAAATCTTTAAATACTTTATGCATATTTAAACCCTCGAACCTTTCCCCTTAAGTCTTCATAATGGAACTGATGGGCATATTGACACAATGTCAATATTCTCTCTTGATATTTGTTGTTTAACGCCGCACACAGCAATATTTCAGCTACAGGACAGCGGTTTGCAAATGACCGAGTCTGTAGCAGACACTCCAGAGATTGACATCATGAGCATCAGCGATCAATCAAGTTAGCCGCCTCTTTTGACAAACATGGGTTGATCTAACCTTGATCTTCATGGTTACTATCTTCATAAAATAAATACTAGATAAATACTAACATCGTGTGAAGTTAATATTGTTTGTGTACTATGGTACGTTTATTTTTTTAGACTGAAAGGTCCATTATGGTTCTTATAAATAAGAAGCAAGAATAAGCTAATATTTACGTAGCTGTCTCAAGAGATACCAATGGTGAAATGTTCTATTTTATAGTGATTCATAAACACATACCTATGATATACTCGGAATTGTGTATTCGACTTTGCTTTAAGTACATCTTTCTGATGATTTTGATATGTTTTCCGTCGCTTTTATTTAGAAATATACTGAGCAGATTGAACATAAATACCGACAAAATACTGACTTGGTGGATTTGAATAAATCCTTTTTCATTTAAACACTTTCTCCCTTGTGCGCTTGCTGGTTTATCATATGCTTAGGGTTGCAACCATGTTTCGGAACAAGCCCAAACGTATCATTTCAGTTATTTCAGACCAATGTTGAAAGGAAATATACTTTTCTAAGGTAACATGATGTTATCTCTAAAACCCGCCTCACAAATCTGCGCCCCTTCCGCACCACAGAAACCTGTGCTCTTCAGTATCTAGGTTTGACAGTTACAAGTCGTGAGTTTCTCCGAAATACTAGTGAGTGAGTGAGTTTTACGGGAAACACCAGAAATGGGCTTCACATATTGTACCCACGTGTGAAATGAAAATAAGAGTGATTGAATGTGGTTTAACGTCAGGTAAAAATCCGACGACCATACATGTTGTAATATAATAAACTTGGTGTAATATCCTGTCAACTTCAAAACGAGGAAGTAGTTTGCAACAACTATTGACGCGACCGTGCGCTATTCTATTGATAAAAATATGAATGTTAATCGCTTTGCATCCAAGGCGGAGAGCAGAATGTCATCCACAGTACCTTGCATTTATCATCAACAAAGTGTCATGTTCTGCGTTGTTACCAAGGGCAATTCATACAATAAAATAAAGTTTAATCCGTCTACATTAGATTGTGGTTGACATTTTCGACACGCAAGTAATCCACGGGGAATATGCACATTGATAGTTCAGTTCAGTTTCAGTTCAATCATCATCACCTCACATCAAATACATTTCATGGTAAAATCGCTCTTCATGCACGAGTACGAGTAACCCGACCTGTCAAAATAGAAGACAATCAGTCTGCTCCACATGTTGGGAATTTAATATCTTAATATTATATGGACGAAAAATGTGGAGTAAAACATGCTATACACATACCATATCAAATGCGGGATCCTTCTGACAGCTAAAGATGTGAATTGTCTGGTAACGTTTGTTGTTCAACGCCACCCTCAGCAATATACCAGCTATATGAAAGCGGTCTGTAAATAATCTCGACCAGACAATCCAGTAATTGACATCATGAACATAATTGGAATTATGTATTTTGACAACATAGAAAATCTAGAATAAATACAAAACTATTTTAGAATTCCAATTCAAATTCCTACACAAAAATTATATACACTTAAAAGGAATTGTTAAAGATGAACTTGTTTGACGATGTTGATTTTGCAATTCAGGCAATGAAAACCTTGATCACGTATATTTAGAATGTTCTTATGTTAAAGAATTCTGGGACGAATTTAATGCTTTCATAAATGTTATTTTCGGTCATGTTATTATTACAAAACAAGATATCTATTTTGGAGGTACACCTTATGAAGTCACTTATTGATATCAGCATAAATACACATTTACGTACCACATATTAAAGACATGAAACCATGTTTGAAATCATATAGAAATATACTGGAAGAAACTTACCATATCGAGTTGTTCCTTTAAAAAAGAAACGGAACAATAATTCCTTTCACTAAAAAATGTTTAATGGGGAAAACCATAACGCATCACCTACTTAATCGATATCCCTTACAATTATTACCAAGTATCAAAGATGAACTTACTGTCATATCACATCATGCACATTTTTCTCATGATATTTACCATGTAATTTGATGCCTAATACGATGACTATGAACACAATACATTGTACCCTATGGACTGAATAAAAAACCACACCAAAACTCCAAAACATGTGGAAGAAGGAGGACGAGAATAATGCGCTGCAGATATGTTAATGCAATGAAACGTAACCCGGTGAAAACGATCAGTTAAATTTTATATCCATCATTAGCTCATCATTAATGTCACAAATGAACGTATAGTTGTTGGTGAATTACACTTGATGGAACTGACACGATTTGCTTTTGACCTCCAATGTTCAGTGCATATCACTTGTGCAGTGTTTGTGTTTGCTAGCTACGTTATTGAGCTTATCTCAAACTTTTGTCAGCTGGGGACGTCACTGGGCTGTAATATCTTGTCAACTTCACAATGAGGAAGTAAATTGCTACAAGCAATTGTGTGATCATGTAAGCAGCTAGCACCTCTCATTGGATGTACATGCCATCGTATCCAAAATGAATCTTGGATCAAGGTTCTGCCGCTTCCTGCTCCTCTTGTTGGCCTGTACGGTAGGTGTTTTATATGTTATCTCTGTGTCCAACTTCCAGTGTTTTAAACCAATCAACGTTATACGTGATCTTCTCCTCGGTATCTACAATTATCTCTGACAGCTGGTAACAATTCACACCTTTTGTGTTTACTGATTTGAATATAATACCATATTATGTTCCTTAATGTGCAAATATTACCATGGATGACAACTCACGTACTGAGAACTGTACTGACAAACAATCAAGTTAGATTGTCAAATATATCCTTGTGAAGAGGACCAAAGGTAACATGAACCTAATACTTGCTGTTCCTCTTGTATTGCTATTGCTAAGACTGATTTGTTAAACAATATTCACTCATTCACAATGAAGTTTGTTCTTACAAATGAAAAGTTTTTATTCATTAAACGTTTAATACAGAAACAACATGGTAGGAATGTCAAAGGTCATATTCATGAGTATCCAGCCAGTAACCCTTCCGAAACATTTCAAATTCTCTGATGCTAATTGTATAAGCTCTTTAGGTGTGTCATGAAACATACGTTTGACAATAAATATAGAATGTCCTTTACACCCCATGAACTACGGGTATGAGTGGCTGAGTGAAGGAGGTGAGGTGAAATGGGGTTTAACGTCGCGCTCAAGATTATTGCAACGTGCGTGCGTGGTTATTTGTTTGTGTGTGTGTTTGTGTGTGTGTGTGTGTGTGTGTGTGTGTGTGTGTGTGTGTGTTTTGGTGTTTGTGTGTGTGTGTGTGTGTGTGTGTGTGTGTGTGTGTGTGTGTGTGTGTGTGTGTGTGTGTGTGTGTGTGTGTGTGTGTGTGTTTGTACTAGTTGGGACTGATGCAGATTTATAGTGCTTGCCCACTGAGATACCATGCCGCAGTCTAACATGAATACCCCACTCAGACACAGTGAACTGACTCCGAGCCGATCAGTCCTTGTTTTAGCCATTTAATGCCGAGCGCCAGACAGGGTAACAAAAAGTACCATCTTTTCTCCGGGCAAACACTCTATCACTAGACCACGGAGGCGGTCAAAGGAGTGATGATACCAGGCGTTCGACAAAAGGTGAGCGTCAAAAGTTTTACTGAGTACTTGAATGTTGTAACTCTGATCAAATAACTTTTGAGTCCGGTTTAGACAGGTTTTAGGCTATATATTGCCTTTCAACTTAGAATAATAATGCATAAAAAATACACGTTTGCAGGATGTAATAAGCTACCTTTTAAACTTAGCATGTGCATTCCTAAAACAAAAGGGTTAAATAAATGGGTTTGGAACATGGGTGAAGCATAAATTAGGTACATTAGAACGTTTTGAAGTATATTTAAAAAGACTGATAATTTGTTAATTGATTAATTTTATATTCACTGTGTGTGTGTGTGTGTGTGTGTGTGTGTGTGTGTGTGTGTGTGTGTGTGTGTGTGCTACTTGTGCAAGCCGGAAGAATGCCGGGCTTAGCCCACTGATACCATACTGACTCCGAGCCGACCAGTCCTTGTTTTATCCCCTTAATGCAGAGCGCCAGGCTATATATCCAGTGATTGCGGTTTAACGTTACGTCCAATAGTATCACAGAAGTATTATGGCATGTCAGCTTATGTGGAAGAAACGTCCAAACTGATGCAGAACGTATATCTTCAAATGTGGTCAAATCCACTGGCACAGATGTGGTGTTAACAACCAAAGAATGCTGATCAGGTCGAGCTCACTGGGGTAGAATTCTGGCACAGTTACGGGACGCAACGACACAGCAAACTGTAAAACATGCGTTAGACTGTTGACATGCAAGACATGTATAGCTCTACAGGTGTTCAGGAATGTGTTTAAATCTCACAAGGAATACACATTTTTGTGATTTCTATTTAAATACGTTTTGTGCACAAGCACATGAAATGACACATCGTCTCACAGTCTAAACACCGCATGTACACAAAATTTAAAACATATCGACAATCTAAACATGTCTACAACAAAATTAATATCATTTACTATCACGTCAAATACCGACAGAATGTATAAAATAATTTGATATAGGTTTTACAATAGGTCAGATCAATACAATTATGCTTCACATTCCCAAGTTCTGAGATATCACAACTATGACACACACACACGCACGCACGCACGCACGCACGCACGCACGCACGCACGCACGCACAGTTGATATTATTATTATTTTTATTATTATTATTATGCACAATGTTTCTGGTAACAATGTTTCCAAAATTCCTTCACAACCACATGGTATATTGATTGGATACAGCGAAGGAAAATGCCTCCCAAAAAGTGTATGACAAAAAATGAAAAATTGCATCCATTAGGCATGGTTGAAAATGGCCAATCACTGAATGCAGTTGCCCGAGACTGGAAAATATAGAAATATGATATCCCGACTTATGGAACCATATCGCCAAACGTATTGGGTTAATAATAAGAAGAATACTTCCATGCAGAATCGATATTGCGTTGAGGAACAAATTCATTTCTTGTTGTTCTCTGGCGTTGAGGTTTTATATTTACTTGAACTTGATCGAAATGTATGCTGGTGTACTGAAGTTTCTACGCAAAAAAGATTTGGGCCGAGAAATTAAAAAAACAACCCCCACTGTGTTGCAAAACGAACATATTTCTTAAACGCTTTAGTTTTTTTATAAGTAGCTCTGGACGTACATACACCAGACGTAATTCAAAATTAACATCGATTAAAATCAGTATGTACGCTATCGTGTCACTGGATTTTCATGTCCATCGATTATTTGATTGTCTGGTTTGTTCACAGTAATAAGTGATAATAAGACACTTAGTTTTTTATGCAAATCGGTAGGGCATGACCTGTTTACCCTTTCAGCGACAACCCGATGTCATTGCTGATTTTATGTGATCCATTCATATGAGTTTAACTATCATTTTGCCTTTTGCACCAAATTGAATGGGCATATAATCAAGACTGGATATTCTCTGGCGTTGACGCTTTATTTTTATAGTGTAGCTTGAGATGTACCTGTCCTGTTCTACAACGTAGATTTCCTCGATTGATTTTGATGTCTCTTTTTGATGCATTGCCATTGACAAATGTCATGCATCGATAGTTCGATCAGTTCTTACACACCTGCATGTATGTGTTTATTTTAGTTAAGGCATCACTGGTTAGTCTTTGAAGCATGATTATGATGCAGCCAAACAATCAGTAAGTACCTTTTGAGAATTGAGGACATAGGCCCACATACATATAACAATTAAACAAATAATAAATATAGTTATGTCACTCTACATAATTTTAAACATTATTTATAAAAGAGTTTCATCTTTCAAAATCATGATTAATATACATGCATATTAATTTGATTCGTTCGGGATACTTTGGACATAGGCTACATTCCCTCTAAACTACAGCATAAGGTGTTTGTGGTGCAATTTCTAATACGTTTTGTAAGCCAGCATGTCTATTTTCTCTCAGTGCTATTGTTTCCCCAAATTTCAGATGCATATAAAAGAATCGGACTAATCTGATAATCAAACAATTTAAAGGATACTTCAGGTGCAGTAATACCTATTTTCTTGTAGTTGTTACTAACTGAAATAAAGCCCTTTTGGCATGGAAAGGTAGATCAGTAACAGCTTTACATAAACTAAACTTACAAGTGAAGACTAATCCAGATATTTATAAATATTAACATTAACCGTTCTGTGTGACATTTTGCAAAGGTGATGTCCTGTTTCGATTAAACGTATGGGATGTATGGGAACCACATCTAAACTGGACTGATGTGACACGAAATATATGCAAGCGTATTTCTGTAAAGTAGCCTTCAGTTCAGATGATGCCGTCCACATTTGCAAGTAGGCATCTTTTAGTGTTTCCTGTATTGCTAATATTTGGATTTGGACTGAAATAATCATTCCAAAGGTAACCAAAGTTATGAAGTAATTCCTTTATATCATGAAACCTATTGTATTCACCTTGTTTGTTTTCAAATCACAATATTATATTATAAGATTTCCTTGCAGTTGGGAGCATAGTTCATGGCATTTTTAAATATGTCATTATATGCGAGCGTATATATATATATATATATAGAAACACGGGACACGTCAATACATACCATAGCATAATTTGAAGTACTTGCCATTGTCCCAAGAAATCTTCAAATGTCTGCACCATAAAGCAACATGGGGTTTATTTTGTCGTCAATGTTCTGTAAACAATTCTGATTGAAATAGCCTTGACATTATTTATGGCCTTCGTGATACAAAGAAGAACCTCTGAACCATTTACACACATGGCGATTTGATATTCATCTAAATAATTTTAATCAGTGCAAATGCAAAATATTTCCTTGATCATAATGTGTAAGTATAATGTGTGTTGGCAGGTATGACTGGACCTTTTTAAAACTCTTTTTCAAAATACTTTGGGAAACGCTCAATGTTAATGTTAAACCTTACTGCTGCCAGGTTTTAAGACAGTGGCTCACTACAGCTGTATGTGACACTTAGGAGATAAACATACTGTGTTTTCAATGCAGAGCTAGGTTACCTGTAGATTTAACCGCGCTGTCTCCATTCAACCGTGACTAAATAAAACGCGAACTCTTTGGTGCTTGCAAATATTTTGAGTGAAGCGGCATAGGTTGAGTTCAGTGTTTTGAGTGTGTTGTCGATGTGGATTACGGGTTCACCGACAACAGTCTTTAAAACAAAATATCGCGCTGTGTAAGCTCAGGCGGTTTCTTTGCACCGTAATACTTCACTCGAACATGTGACAGGCATTGACAGCATATAAGCACGGCAACCTGGAAAAGCTAACATAAGGTGGGCAACCCTAAAGAAAACTTAGCTAGCTTTGAAAAGCTTTCGTTCTACACCGAACGTCACCATTATGACGTCATATCGCTCATTGTGACGCAAAAGATGTGACGTCACAGACGTATATAGAAAAGCGCCATATTCCAAGCTCTCTGTTGTCCACAAAATTTAAAATACACTCTCTTTGTTGATTTCTATCGTTTTTTT